AATGACGAGAATTTATTCAGGTGTTGTATAAAACAAATAACGAATGTTTTACGTTCGTGCGACGGAAAGAATAATTTCATGAGGTGACAGATTGAATGTTCTATTCGCCTCGTGGAATAGAACATTCAATCTGTCACCTCATGAAATTATTCTTACCATCGCACTCACAAACATTCGTTATTTGTATACCAGTGAATCAGTATTTCATGGTCCAAAATTCACACTTCACCAGCCCAGCTGCGTTTTGCGCGACATCGCACAGTACACGCAACGCGCACGCCAATGTCCCTATTAGGTAACGAGTTGTGGAGGGGCATTCCATATTATAGTCAGAGGGGTGTTTCGAATAACATTATGTAAAATTGTTGAACAAAATGGTTGGCAACGTCTAGTTTTTGACATTTTTTTATTTTGGACCAAAAAGGTATTTATGAATGGGAATAAATGTGTGTTCGGTCGGTATTAAACACTCTGTTTAAGACCGGTTTGAGTCTGGATGGGCGATAATTACCCTCGGCTTCGTTATAATACCTCCCAAACACACATTTATTCCCTAAGTAATGGAGCTAATTGCAGCCTCGACTCATGGGCGCGTGCTTGTTCCTTACACTAAGATCGCGCAAGGCATAATGGGAAACAACATGGCGCAGCACGTGACCTAGCTCAACGCGCCTGAAGCTAGAATGCGCTCGGAGTATGTACGCGCTGCGCTCACATTTTTTTTCCATTTCGCTTTCGATTTCAGTTACGGTAATCATTAAATTTTCTGCAAACTTATAAACCTTTAAACTTTTAAGCCAACTAATTTGGCTCAAGTAAAACAATAAATTCCCATCCAGAAATTGCAGCCTATAAACTAATAACTGGTAATAACTTCGAAACAAGCTTTGTACAGGGTTGACGGAGAAATTCCGGAAAACTCGCTGGCGTATTATTTTATTTCATGTTAAAAAAAGCTTTTTTTAATCGACAAATAGTCGATTAAATTAGATTCATAAATACCTCAGACAGTTTAGCCATTCCTATTGGTCAAGAGCCCGTCACGTGGCCGGTCTTAAACGGATGATAAAGACATGGCTAGCTGGTCTTAAACACTTTTCCAGTGTCACAATAAAATGTGGACTCCTAAAAATCCAGTGCCTCTTACCGTTTCATTGGTTGAACGTTCACAATCCTCACGTAGGCATGCGCAACACTACAAGCGAGACAGAATTTTATAGTTCTAAATTCAAAACGCAACGCCCCAGGTGCGTTCTGCGTGACATCGCGCAGAACATGCTACGCGCGCGTCAATCTCCATAAAAGGGTTGTTTACATCTTACTCGCCAGCTGAACACTCCATTATTTTGCTAGAGGGGTGTTTCAAAAAGCATGAAGTGAACTTGTTGAACAAAATCGGGATTTTTTGAACGAATTATTTGATATTTTATTACGGATAGGGTATTTATGAATGGGAATAAATATGTGCTCGGTCGGTATTTATCACTCTGTTTAATACCGCTTAGAGTCTGGGTGCTGATCATTACCCTCGCCTCCGGCTCGGGTAATTATCAGCACCCAGACTCTAAGCGGTATTAAACGAGTGATAAAAACCTCCGGAGCACACATTTATTCCCTTATTCATATTAAAAATTGAGGTAGCCTTCTGCCCCCCCCCCCGAACAAAGATAGGTTCTTCGAACATATTTTCGTGGTATTATGTTATATAAACATAAATTAAATTTTTATTCCATATCTATGGTGGTGTCACTGGTAAACGCAAACCATGCATGATTATATTACATGAATAAATGAATAATTGATTAGTTCCACGAGATAGTAAAGGCGCTCGTGGATTAAGCTTCGCCACTCGCACTTGTCTTTTTTTCAGGCTAGCATCAGGGAAACCCACGTGTCCGAGTGGCCACGCGCGCCTAGTTTGACTATAGGCTATGTTTAACCTGCATCCTTTATATTCCCAAACAAAATCGTCGGCTGCACTTGCACACGATACGTCACTTTGTGGTGCGACCGACGAAATGTAGCCCTATGCATATGGAACGCCAAAGAGGCATTTAATGTGATCACCGAATCGGTGATGCACTTTTGCAATCGGTGATGCATATTCACGATCGGTGATGGACTTCCACGACCGGTGATCAACTTTCACTGGTGATGCATATTCACGAGCGGTGATGGACTTTCGTGATCGGTGAAGGACTTCGCGATCGGTGATGGAGTTTTGCAATCGGTGATGTACTTTTGCAATCGGTAATGGACTTGCACGACCGGTGATCAACTTTGCAATCGGTGATGGACTTTCGTGATCAGTGATCAACTTTGCAATCGGTGATGGACTTTCGCGATCTGTGATGGACTTTCGTGATCGGTGATCAACTTTGCAATCGGTGATGGACTTTTGCGACAGGTCAACTTTGCAATCGGTGATGGACTTTCTTGATCGGTGATCAACTTTGCGATCGGTGATGGACATTTGCGATCGGTCATGATGGACTTTCGCGACCGTGTGACTCAGTTTTGTAATCAGTTGTGTGTTGCGTCTAATCATTTGCATTTATCACACTGAGTTATCAGTTCCTAGCTCCATGATATCACCATGGCTCTATGATATCACCAACAAGAACTGGAGCAATTTTTTTTTTACAAATTTACATCATTTGTAGATTTTATTAAACTAGTTAATGCATTAATGTGGCCATTGCTAATGTGCAGAGACTTATTTTGTCGGTACATAGGTTACTGTTGTGGTTGTAGTCCTATTCAGAATCTTTTATTTATTTAATTTTTTTAAAAACATTATTCAATGTTTTCCTTTGAAAACTCCGATGTGTAAGTACCCCCCCCCTCAAAAAATAAATAAATAAAAAGACTATGCACACCGGTGAATCATTATTTGAAAGAATATGTAACCATTCGGGTTAAATAGCGAATGTATTTTCTGTTTGTTTGCAATCCACAATTAAACAAGCTCGGCCGCAATACTGATGACTCTTGGTACATGTTTAATATTTCTGGGCTACTGAAAAAAATCCAACAACAGCTGTCAAACAAGCAAGGGCATACATTACTTTACCATAAGATCTTGGAATATAAACACAACCACACAGAGTTGTGTGTTCAAATTTTCACGCGTTAAGTGCAATAATTGAGCTCAGTCCTTTCTCTTTTGTTTTGTTTACAAGGAAATAATGATAAGCCAATAACACAAAGCAACATGTGATTTATTCGCATATAAGAAGGCCAAGCCGGAGTAAAAACAAAACAAAACACAACAACGTTTATTTGTTTATGTGACGAGTGTATGGGGGGGGGGGGTATAACTTAACGCGGCCGCCCGATAGTCCGAAGGTCCGATATAGTCCGAAGGTTCTTTAGTCCGAAGGTTCGATAGTCCGAATGCACAAAATGGCCCCAAGAGTCAAGCTGTAGACTTGGGTCATGAAGAAAGTGGCATTTACAGTTATGAAAATATTATCAATATCCATATGTAGGCTATTGTTTAACAAGGTTATGACCTCTCGCAAGGTGACCATGCAGAGGTTGAATATGAAATGACCTATATATGAACATTCTCTTTATAGCATGAACACCTTTCATTTAGACACGAATCGTGAAAAAAAGATGCGGTTTAAAGAAAAAATCTTAGCTATAAACAGGTTTACAAAGGTCATTGACCTCTCAAATGTCACCAAAGGTCCGATATGAATTTTTCCACATCTGATCATTATTTTCATTGTATGAAGACCTATAACATACACTTTGGTCATAGGGAGGTGAACTTCAAGTTGAAGAACAAAGGTTATGAATAGAGTATGCAAAATTCATTGACCTCTAAATTTCACCAGAGGTCAATTATGAAATGCCTCCATATCTGAAAAATTTCTTCATGGCAATTGGCATGAAGAACCAACAACAACATGCGAAGTTTCATGCTTTTATCACAATATGCACATTACTTTAGCATATTGGGGCTATGCCGCACCACTAAATCGAAAAAAAAATGAATAATAATTTCAAATTTTAAAAATGATAATAATCTAAACTCTTGTAGAAAAACATACCATGGACTATTGATACATTAAACATAATGCAATTAAAAACTCTGCATCCAGGTTATATTATATAAATTAACGACAATATAGCTTGTAGCGGACGTTGTGAAATATTTTCCTTTTCTTATGTTTTGTCTTCAATTTGTACCATAATCATCTCTAGGTTTAGAAAATATGTTTTCCCTTATTATTTAGCTTAGACCATGTACAATTTGGTGTAAGATCCCTTGACTTCAGTCCCCGACCCCTCGACGACCTTCAACACTCTTCCAGGCCTGGGTTGCGGTCCCCATAGCAACCTCTCCCAACTCCAGACCAAACGTGTCCCTAGTGTACTATAATTCATCCTGCTATAGGGCACTGTGCATTTGACCACTGTGATTCAGACGCAACACACAACCACCGATTGCAAAACTGATCACACGGTCGCGAAAGTCCATCACCGATCGCAAATTTCCATCACCGATCGCAAAGTCCATCACGGATTAAATGCCTCTTTGGCGTTCTTGTTTCGCCAAAGAGGCATTTAATCTGTGATAAACTTTCGCGATCGGCGATACCTTGCAATCGGTGATGGACTTTGCAATCAAAGTTACGATCACTGGTCGTTGATCACCGATCACGAAAGTCCATCACCGATTGCAAAGTTGATCACCGGTCGTGCAAGTCCATCACCGATTGCAAAAGTACATCACCGATTGCAAAACTCCATCACCGATCGCGAAGTCCTTCACCTATCACAAAAGTCCATCACCGCTCGTGGATATGCATCACTAGTGAAAGTTGATCACCGGTCGCAGAAGTCCATTACCGATCGTGAATATGCATCACCGATTGCAAAAGTGCATCACCGATTCGATGATCACATTAAATGCCTCTTTGGCGTTCCATATATGCACGGATTTCTTGTAGATTGGACTCATAATGGGGTCTCATAAATGAACTCACGTGCAATAATCCGCAGGAACCATCCCATACACGTGTAACTTGTCACACACATCCAAAGCGATCATCATTGTGAACCAACCAGTAGATAACCAAGACTGGTTTGTTGAACTGGGGAAGTAAAATATCACACACCATCATTGTTGGAACACACATGCTTATACTACACAAGCTGATTTACCCGATCATAGATCGGGTAGGGCGTAGTGTTGGGGATAAAAATGTGGGGAGTTAAATGTAAATGGGGGATATAGTTGGGGAGACATGCAGTTATAGAAAAGCAATTTATGTGGTGTGATCTGAGACAATTTCTAACCACTAAAACCAATTTGAGCAAAAGATCATCTTTAAAGTTTGGAGTTTGGAGTAATTGAATCAGCTACATGTATTCTGAGTAATGAGAATCATTATTGTAGGCTACAATATTTTTATTCGGGGAAGAAAAAGTGTGTGGGGGGGGTACCAAACAATGTCCCCCGCCTGAAAATGTGGGGGGGGGGGGGCGGGTTCCCCCTGTCCCCCGTCGATTTACGCACATGATAATTATGTACCGTGGCAACTGTCTGTAAATGTTGGCGTTGGTCTGTTAAATTGGCTTTTTGTGAGGCAGTCGTATTTGGAAAACGTAGATGGGGGATATAGTTGAGGAGACGTGCAGTTATAGAAAAGCAATTTCTGTGGTGTGATCTGAGGCAATTTCTGACCACTATACATACATGCAGGCTATAGAGGAACTATCCTGTTTCAGGGTTGTGTCTGATTAATCTAAACATTATAAAGTGCAATACTGCAATGCAAGCAACTTCGCCTTTGTGGCGTCAAGCAGTACGCTATATAGCTGCTTACTCGCCCTGTATCGGAAAATAATCTTGTATTATAATAATGAAGTGGAAGAGCCTGATGCTTTGACAATTAAAACCATAATTCACTCTTGAATGTGGTGTCATGGATATTTGCCTGAAGCAATTCCTTAAGACATTGGCTCGCAATACAAATGAGTTTTCAATATTTCAAAGGTAAAACCACACAACTCCAGCCTATTACACCAAAATTGATGAAGTTATCGAACCAAATCCACTTAGTCTTATAACATTAATAAATTAAAATATATGAAAAGCTAGTTGCCTTCCACATGCACAGGGTCTATGATAGACTTGATGACAAGTCGTTAGATAGTCGTATTTTCCCGTGAACTTCAGTCGAACTCCATCGGCGCGGCTGGTGGAATAAGACTAGTGCCGGTACACTGTAAAAAATGGCTGTAATTTGGACAGTATCTTACTGTAATTTCCTACAGTAGTATACTGTATATTTGTTTCACAGTAAAGTACAGTGCATTGTTGGGAGCCGTTGTTTTAGCTGTAAAATACTGTAAAAATTGCAAATATGCCTTAATTTTCACAATAATTTACTGTTAAATATTTTGACAGTATCATACTGTAAACTAATCACGATTGTCTCGCGCGTGAAAAGAATGAAGGCAAAACCGACAGCCGCTATCTTGTTTTTGCAGATTTGATATGTTGGTCTGTTCCCTGAATTTGTACATGTTGGTAGGTATAATCCGTGCAAGATTAATGTTTGCTTCAATCGTGATAATTTGTTTTTGAGGGTTAAAATATACTATATACAAGCCTATGACCTTTTATCGGATCACTTCAAATTTTCCCCACTGAGTTAAGTTAGTTTAGTTTATTATTTTTTTCTGTTGCTTCCCTTTATTTCGTATTTTATTGGATTGTATTCGTACAAAGTATGGATAGGCCCTGTATGATTTTCAAGGTTTATAATTTCGTTTATATTGTTGTTGGTTTGTAGTCTGTGGGGTAAGCTGACTGCCCCAGCAGAAGTGTTCCCTTGAACCCATTTACGACCTTGCTGTGGTTGTGCTGGCTGTGGCCTGGTTTTCCCCTGAGAGTGCCACGTTGTGACCGTTACACTTTGGCGGGCTAGAGTGTACATGTATTGGTCAGTTCTCCCCATTGCCACATCACCATTCCCAAACAAGTCAGCACCAAGCAGGGCTGCTGCCTATGCTGCATGCTTCGTTCCATCATTATAAATTGAGCTACAATATTCAGTTTCTTGTAAAGATCATCTGGTTCCTCTGCATATACGTAGGAATGGTGGACCCCCTTTCATAGGTGAGTCTTGTTTGTTTATTTTCTTTTTACTTTTCCCAATGGATTTTTATTGATTTGTAAAGTTTTCTTCCCCTTTGCAAACATGGCTTCAAAGTCATCATGATATTGGCCGATTAGAAGCGAATTAATAATCTCCTTGCTGTCGTTCCCATGGTTATTTCATATTCAATTTTGTTTGAAGACTTAACATTTTCAAGTTTCTTATTTCCGCTTCATTTCCTCGCATTCTAGGACCTTTTGTGTTTAAGAATAAGATGTTTTAAAATAAGTTTCCAGACCAACTGATGTTGTCAGTTAATCCACATTCCGATAGCGATACATATACGACCGAGTATGCATTTTTATATCGTCTACACCTCGGTTGTTCTGGGCTTTATTGTTAAAGAAACGAGTACAAATTCTCCTCCATCTCTTGATCAGTTGTTCAGAAATTGTAAATATCTCAAGATCCAATTTATTATTGATTTGTTTAATTTATCTTTTCCAGTGACTTCCATTTTGACTGCGGGGGGGGGGGGGGGTTCCCCTGATGAAGCCTATAGTCAAGTCAAAGAGATTATACATTAGAAACAGTGAAGTTTGAAAGTGAGTGAAATATGACAAGAACCAAACTTCAACAAATGGTTCACCCAAATATTTCAATGGCACTTTTCAACACTGGTAACCTTATAACAAAATTACATGTATATTGCCTTACAGATGCTTCGTGAGAACCAGTCTAGAATCTGTCACCAAATGCACAAGAAGAGGGGAAATCAAACGCACAGGTCAGGACGTTCAGAGGAAGAGAGAAAAGATCAATTGCCATGTTGCAACATTTTGTTTGCAAACGTGTAGACTATAAGTGGACGTGATTATATTGTTGAAAGATCTAGAGAATGACGAATGCCACAGATAAACTTTGATGAGAGTATCAAGAGTTCAAAAAGTTTTACTCCATGTGAATCCAAAGTTTACCAAAATGAGTCACTTAAAGGTACAAGATCTATTACCCAGGCCTGATTTTACCTTGAAAAATATATTTAAATGTGTAATTACTATTTCTGTGTGATCTCCAAAGAGATAAGCCTTCAGATGCGACACGCCAAATAAAAACCATCCACGGATAAACCCACAGCTATCTAGAAAATGTGCTAGTATATCCACTCATTAAATTAATAAAACAAATGATAACATATCACAGAAAATTGTTGTAACACTTAGAATGGCCTTGTCCAGTACTAAGATCACCACAGGCAATAATGTTCAGTATACACAATTTTGTGGAATGTGTAAACTTTTTCTTGACATCTGTACAATTGTTCTGAAAAAGAACAAGATGTGGTTTCTTAGTTAAAAACCCTTGGAATAACAAATGATTTTGAACAATCAATTCAATTGAAGAATAGAAAGATGTCTAATTGTGTTTCAACATTTGTTCTTAACTAAATATTTGAATGATTTGAACATAATAAAAAATCTTTCTCGTAATATTAGTTATCACTGTTCAAATTTCACGCAATAAAGAGAATAAAAGTTTCAAACGAGGAACAGTTGTCATCTGTGTGCAATTTTTGTAAATATTTTACTGGATCAGTAGGCCCTACTGTAAACTTTCAAGATTACTGTAAATTTAGCTGTAAATTACTGTTAATTACTTAACAGTATGATCACCACTACTGTACAAATTATACAGTACTTTACCGTGATCATTTTACAGTAGCACTGCTATTGTTAATTTACTATTTATTTAAATACAGTATGACAATATTTACTGTAAAATTTACAGTAAACGGCTGGCAACTCAGCTGCCAGTAAATTACTGTAATTTGTACAGTTAATTTTTTACAGTGTACGTAATCGGCCGGGTTGCGACAAATCTAACGACTGGACGATTACCTTCTCGCACGTTATTCATGCAAGCAGCGCAATACATTATGCAGTGCATTTTTGCTGTGAGATCCAATCGCGCGCCGCTATGCAAATAAGGACTCATCCATTCCGTTACATGGGGTTTCACTCAATACGTCAGGGACATGTTTGCAGATCTGGTGACGTCTTCGTGAAAACGCAAAATGCATTTATCGAGATATCTGCCCCTTGCAACATTAGTGTCACTTAGAAATTAAGGATGTTTTGCTTACAGAAACATGTCAAAATGGTTAAGTACATTGTTTTAATGCGAAATATTGAAAAAAATCAAAATCGAAATTTTTTTTGACATGTGGCTCTTCGTGAAAACGGTGACGAAATGTAACAAACGGGACGAGAAAAGGCAGTTTTTTTCTGAAATCACTTTTTCCACGTTCGAAGAAAACATTTTAAACAACCGACTCTTCAATAAAAATGAAATATTGATACAAAAATAACAACTACAAAATTCAGGCGGCCTATAAATAGTAAAAATACGAAGGTAGGAATCGCTCAGCGGTACAAAGTCGGCATATGCAAATAATACTAGGAATTGCGCATGCGCAGTTGAAAGTGCAACTACAACGTACGTGCGTGATACACGAGATATAACGGTCTTCAACTCGGGGGGGGGGGTCAAAGGCTTGGGTGCTGCTCATATCATGCAGTTATCGATTCAGCAGCGAAGTAGGAATGTTATGGACATGCGGTGTGCATGTGCTGACCTAGGCTGCTGCATGCAGCTGCTGCTAATCGATACAGGATACATTTAAGTCAAACACAAATGCCATTTGCATTTGCCATATAACAAACATTGAGGTTAACTGCAGTGTTGTTTTGTGGTAGTTTTAATTAGAAATGTGTAGATTTATTTCTTTGTCGCCATGTTATTTTAAAGTGATGGTGATTGTTCTGAAAGAATTCATTATAAGTTACCATAATATAGGGACAAAATAATCGTTTTGCTTCTGCAGGTCCTTTGATATGAGCTCTGATCGTGGGCGTCGCCAGGATTTTTTTTCTAGGGGGGGGGGGGCAAAGCACATCTTTTTTTCTTCTGTTTTTGCTTCTTTCCTTTTCCGGGGGGGGGGGGCAAGCGACGCCCATGGATCTGATTTACAGCTTTCGAGAGCCCCGTGGATGGACGGGACACACCAAATGAAAACTTGTACGCAAGACTTATTTTGTTCTGAATGTGAATATTAAAGTCATAGCGTGTTCGCGTGGGCATACGAAAGTCTTTCTCTATGGTCTCTCGCAACTCTCCCTTTCTTACCGTAGAGGGGGTACTTGTGCACGGAGCCCTTAAACCATAAATAAAACCTAGACACGACACTGCTCAAAACAGGCTATGCGCGAACGGCATGTGGTTTCGTACACGACGCCAAAGAAGTTTACATTTCCATCGGATTTTGTGTGATTCTAAGTGCTTTCCAGTTGACATAATAATTCTATATACGCGCAGCATTTTGCTAACAGACGCGAGAGCAAAATAATGTCGTGTCAGCAGGTTTTATGGAGTGTGCTTAGACCTCGGACATCTACGCATCTTTTGACCACTCTAGTATACCCACATGTGTGGGTTTACCAGCGTTTGTCTCATAAAAAATTTACACATGGGCAAATCTTTTATGAGATAAACGCTGGTAAACGGAATTCGGTGGGAATAAAAATTCGACGCAACTATGCGCAGGCACGACGCGACTTTGCGACTATGCGACTTTGCGACGGCACGACGCGGCCATGCGGCGGCAAGACGCGGCTACGCGACGGCACGACGCGACTATACGCCGTTGTGGCTGAGGACCCAAGCAACAGTGCCACACATGGGCCGCGTACGTGGCAGTAATGGAATTCCGTAAGTAATGAAATTCCATAGCTTTCCGCTGCTAAAAATATACGTCTGTACGAAGGGTCGTCACTCCAGGCTATTTATGTAGAGCTCTAACTTACAGTGGATGTCCCGTTTCTTTGGTGAACAACTCGCCAGCTTTTCTTTCACCTTCCACCGTCTGGCCATGGATGGTTACGTTTGGACTCAGTTTCTTCAACATGCCCAGCACTCTTTTCAAGTCTGCCTTGTGTTCGTACAACCCCCATATCATTACCCGACTGCCCACTGGTAGATGTTCGGCTTTCACTCCGGTAAAAAAGTTGAGCACCCGTAGCGTTGTACGTTGGCCGACGTCTCCTTGGTAGCCATCCACTGGGGCCATGTTCATTCTGATCACGCAATGGTGTTGATCGATCTCTTGACCTGCTCCCTTGCCAAGTAAGAACCCGGAGCTTGATACCATGGCACATGACGTACAGCGCAGCGTGATCGGCTGTGACGACGAATAATTGTAGACAGAGATAAAATCAGATAAGCAAACAAATTGTGCTTGTGATGATATAGGAAGCATGTAGTTTGGCATGTTGTTGGAATATACCTACAGTATACCTTTATTATTTGGCTACAGTACAGGACCATCTCAAATTTACCCTGTGACAAAAATGGCCATCATTTTCCAAACGGGCCACCATCAGCTGTTGAAGTGCCTTTGACATAATACATCAAGTTCATAGCGGGAGGAGACCTCATTTGGTAGCCGGGATGCCGCGCTTCACCCTAGATGGGTGCAGTCGTAAAGTTTGTATTGTTTGAAGGTTTTAAACAAGTTTAAGTGGAAAAAAAGAAATGAAGAGGTACGCAAAATCGGCCAAGGGGCTGGGGCGACAAGATACATAAGTTTTTCCAGCTTATAACGTTTTATAAGACTTTTATCGGAACAAAATGCTACAACCTGAAGCCACTTATTTCTTCATATATCATCGAAATAAAGGTTATTCATTACAAAAATGATGATAAGACATGAAATGGGACTAAGAAACATTTCAAATTTTGTTAGGAAATACTTAGAAAATTGTCTTGACTCTCCATAGTCTTTGAACACAATCGCGGAAGTGGCGTCAAGTTACAACATTTTCTTCCCGTTTTTCATTCGAATTCACCGTTTGTAATATTCAAATTCGTCCAGCAACATCAACTCACTACACTTCAAATATTTAATTTTGTCTTTTGTCACACAGATCAAGCAAATTCAAACAATGAGCACACGTTTTCGTCCCGGAGTATTCGATTTCGTTCCGTCCACGCCAAACCTTGTTTTTCAGAAATCAAATTCGTACAATTGTTTTAAATATAAGACGAATTTGTTCTCTGAATGCTGTCATTCGACAACAGCTTAGACGAATTTAATCTGTAATGACGAATATTCTCGACCCGGTGACTAAAGAGGGTGACCAACCTTGAAATTGAATGGTAAATGACAAAAATTTTTTTTTTAAATGCGTGTGAAATTTTTCTCGGACGAAATTGAATGTAAGAGTCGGTGAATATGAATGTAAAGTGTTTTAAAATAGCCAGAAAAACCTATAGTATAACTTCACAAGGTTGTAGATATTGCAATACAGGGTGAGTAAAAAAACCGAAACCCAAATGTCAGGACTATTGTTTTAGTGAAGTTCTGCATGTAGCACTTTCAAAATTTAGGACATAAAAGCCCAATTTATAAGCTTTCTTTTAGTTTATGAATCATTCAAATCACTTATGTACTTTTCAAGTTACGGAGTTTTAAACAAAAAAGTTCTCAGTGTTCTTTCAGAAAAACGAAAACAAATCACATAAGGAATAAAGGATGTGTGTTAATTGTTTTCGTTTTGCTGAAAGAACGCACACCTTTTTTGTGACTTTTAAACGGTGGTTGTGTTTAAAACTCTGTAACTTAAAAAGTACATAAGTGATTTGAATGATTCTTGTACTAAAAGAAAGCTTATGAATTGGGCTTTTATATCCTAGATATTGAAAGCGCTACATGCAGAACTTCACTAAAACAATGGTCCCGACATTTGGGTTCGTTTTTTTTACTCACCCTGTATTTGATTGTTTTCACACACACACGCTTACATAGGCATAGAAGTGGGGTACTTTCTTTGTTCTCGTGTACTAAAATTTTGCAACGTCGCACACTTGTGTCAAAATGCTCTTATTTTAACCATAGTTAATTTCCTGGACTGAAATTCGGACTTAAAATCCCTTTTATAAAACTTTTCCATTTGTGACGGATCAACGCACCTTGGAAATTCCTAGTTTTTGAGTAAAATCCATATATCTATTTCGTGAAAAAACTTGTGGGGTACCAAAACGGTACCCCGCAAGTCGGTGGGCATTCCTTGTGGGGTACCTCCTATTGTTCCGGTACCCCACAAGGCAGTGTTTGTACACGCACCCACACACACAAAATATCGATAAAGAGACGATTTTGTCATGGAATTTGGTATCAGAGGAAAGAAGAGATTATTATCTTCTTAAATGTACCAAACTTTAAGAAAAATAGGTGATTAGTTAATCAATATTAAGACAAGTGTCCGTCCGTGAAAACGATTAGCAAATTAGCCCCTTGTGGCTTTAAATTCGCCCTTTCGTGACAACGCTTAACCCATTTGCACCTGGTCTACACTGTATTACAATAATTTATTTATTGAAAATTCAGTAAAACCACAGAGTATTCATGCGGTTTCGAATTAGATTTCACCCGCCAACGTCAATATGCCTGTGTACATGTAGTTTCATTCAAAATAAAATGTTAAGTAACCTTTAGAAATCGCCCTTCGCAACCATAGGGCTGCAGGGATCCGTGCCTGTGCACTTTGGAAGAATCCGTGGTTTCATTACCATACAGGATTTGAATAAGTAATTCAATAAAGTCAACGCCCCCCCCCCCCAAATACATAACACCTCATGTATGCCCTGATGATCAAGGTATACAGTAACACTAATGTTAGAACGCCATGATCAAGTGGTTATGGCGTTTGATTTATTGTACGAAGGTGCGTTGGTTCGAATCGTGCCGGGAAGATGGTGTTTGTGCCGTTGGGCAAGACACTTAACTACAATTGGGTGTGAGGGCCGAGGACCGATTGAGCGCTGAAATCGGCTCCCGCGTGGTCACATGGCCTGATGAACGGGGTAATAATTATTGTAAAGCGCTTTGAGATTGTTGATACGATGGAAAGCACTATATAGGTACAATTATTATTGATGAGTAACTACGATTTGCAAAGGTGTGGGAACATGAAACAAAGCTCAGACCCTACCTTATCGTCCAGCAGTGATTTGTAATGTTCAATGGCACCGGTTCTTGTCTGTTTGAGGCTTACGTTATCGTTGCTTTGCAGACCACGCCCATCAATTTCAGCCGCTTGCTTGGAAGTATATCTTTCGTTCTGCTGCGAGGCGGGCCGGTCAAAGTCAGTTTCAAAATGCAGAACGATTAATTCTGATGTATTAGATTCTCTGGGTTTGGAGACACTCATCGATGTTTTATCCACGGGTCTGAATTTCCAAATGCCGATAATTAGGTAGACAAGACAGGTGACCACCAAGACACCAATGCTTAATGGTCTCCGAAAGAAGCGCATGTTGCTGTAATAGTAACATAGAAGATCCATTGGAATATACACTTGTGGTTTAATTGGATGCCGAATAGAAGTTGAAAAGTTGAACACCATAGGACTACCTCGAACAATGCAAGCAGTCCCTTCAAATGGACTTGTCTCCTCGGTAGCTTAGGTATAAAAATTATTTGCAATATTTCATCTACTTTACCTAAGAGATATAGACAATATAGATTGGGGTGATGCCCTTACAAAATCTGAGAGTGTATAAAAAAAAACTTGTTAGCACCTCATGCAAAAATATTTACAAACATGTAAACATGATTACAAACTGATAGCAAGAAAGTGTTTAGACTTTTTTGTAGGCAAGGCAAATATCCACACAGAGGCAATTAGGCTACCTTTGTCCCAATGCCTAAAATTGAAAACTTGGTCCCATGGTCAATTTGACCTCTCTTGGAAAATTACTCATAACTCTGTCAAAAACTATCAGATTTGGACGTTTGATGTCTCATTTTAAAGTGAAAAGCCGTATCTTTCAAACCATACGTATTTGATCTATGTTGGTTACCGGTACTCATTCTATCGTCTGACATTCCGTTGTACTTTGTTTACATTTGTTTGGGTTACACACTGTATAAATACAGCTGAAACACTGACTATCACCTTTTAAGCTCCTGGTGAATTAGGAGCATGGGCGAAAATCCATGGGGATAGGGGGGGGGGGGGCATGGGATCACCCCACCTCGATTTTTGTGCTGAACAAAAGAAAATCGTTGTTTCCACTGAAAATTTAATCTAGTACAATTTGGGATTACATTGGGCCCTGAAATCGCTCAATTTTGCAATGGAGTGGAAGGATTCTTTTAAATGGCGATGTAATTAAGAGTTTACCCCGATTTTTTTTAAGTGAGAAATTTATCACTGGTGTCCATGGCAATGTATACTGGTCTTCACTCCTATACCTTTAAAAGTCTCTGAGGATTATGAACAGTGAAATCCAGTAAATAGTGTCCGGCCCCCGCACGGTCTGGGTAAGTTTCGGGTTTTCAGGGGCGTCATCCCCTACAGTCGCCGACACGGATTTACGCCACTGATTAGAACGTATTAAAATGGAAGTTAACTATATATGATGGACAAACGTTCAGTTTATCTGACTTGTTCCCCATTCACAGGTATACTGGAACGTTGCCCGTGTGAATAGGTTTTTCCGATAATGTTCATTCTTCAACCATAAATTAGGGCAAATTCAACGCCATGATTTACTATGTATCCGCCGTCCAGCAAACAGGATGTGATCAAATGTCAATTTGTACATTTCGTCCATGTGCATGACAATCATCATTGTATGCATAGTACATTATACTTACATTTTTCTTCTTCATTGGCGAATTTGTTCCAACGATCCACCCTGCATTGCTGCCCACAACGTTTACGTGGTGTCCAATGCAATCACGAACATTATGTATAATGCGCTGTGGTGTTATTTCGTAAACCACGTACAAAGTCCATACTATGGGGATCCGTAACAGCCATTCAGTATAATTGTAATAAACAACCATCAAATCATTTCATGAAAATGATTAATAAGCATCCTTTCATATGCAACATTATGCTTATCAGAAAAAAAAATTAACCATTAGTTGATAAACATTTTTTGTCGTGTACGTGAACTCGCTTGACCTTTACTTCCGGGTCTACCGGAAGGTCAAAGTTACGTGAATTCAAAATGAAGACTTAAGCCTGAAATTAAAACAAAGCAAAATTTCTTCCGAACGGTTTACGGGATGATCATAAAACCTAGTGTGAATTTGTACCATGTTACGAAGATGTTATAAATTTGGTTACGTCATCATGACGTAATGTAAGGGCAAAGTGATGGAAGGGCAAATTTTGACAAAATAGTTTGAGCTATACTTTTGAACTCAGTAGAGTATCGTGTTCGTTTTTTTCTTGAGGTTGTAGACTATGCCTTGAGTAACATTTCTTGTTCCCGGACACGAAACCGCTTGACCTTTACTTCCGGTGTTACCGGAAGTGCAATAAAAACTGAATATAACTAGGAAGCGGAAGTATTTTACTACATTTTACTACGTTTTACTATATTTGTTGGAACAAATAAGAAAGCAGCTGCTTACAATAATAGTGCTACCACATAATTTCATCATATTTGTTCACCAGGGACTGCAAAATCACAGCTCTTATAAGAATAAACCCAGGGGAGGATCCAGGAATTTGTATAAATCACACAAAGCATTCAAAACTAATATTCTTTTTTCTGATTTCTTTCGGCGTAACTCGCATATCAACACTGATTCTTTAATTCGTACCTTTATGCAGAAATTTAATAGTTCGACAGTGTAGCCACAAACTTTTTTTTCGTTATCTCAGTGCAGAAATTTAGGAAGCCCATGCGTGCAAAAGACATAAGCCATTTTTTTTTGATATTGAGGTAATCAAATGTTGCATATATTAAGCTCCAAACACGTCATAGAGGCTCCCTCAAGTCTACCGATTCCGATTCTGACCATGAATTCAATTCTAATATTCTCGTCCATTTTCTGATATTTTTCGCCATAACCGATTGAAATCGCACCTCGCCAGTTTTCCTCTCATATCTGAATGCTGAAAATTAATATTTCTACAGCGTGTAGCCACAAACTTTTCTGTCGTAAACTCAGTGCAGAATTTTATTATGCCCATGCAAAAAAAAAAACCCATAAAAGCCATTTTATGATGAAATTAGCATATGTTGCATAAACTCCAACGACGTTAGAGGCTCCGTCAAGTCTACCGTTGTCGTAAATTCAGCGCAGAATTTTATTATACCCATGCAAAAGACCAAGAAAAAAAACAAAATAAAAGCAATTTTATCTTAAAATTAGCATAATTATGTTTCATAATCTTTAACGACGTGAGACGCTCTGTCAATTCTACCAATGTCGTAACTTTAGTGCAGAATTTTATTATGCCCATGCAAAAGACAAAAAACCAAAAAACCAAACCAGCCATTTTATTTTAAGATTAGCATAATTCTGTTGCATAAACTCCAACCACGTTAGAGGCTTCGTTATTTCTACCAATAGTCCCAACTGGTTGTATGCTTGAGTAGCCATCCATGCAGCACCAGATGTGCGCTTCCTGATAGGCCTACAAGTCTTGCCCAGGTAGCAACAAGTTCAACTGCAGGTTGTGTGATTTTCTTTGTGAAAAACACAGGGTAATGGGTGCAGGGTAAAGGGAGGGGTAATGTGCAGTTCAATTATGATTAAGTCATTGTAAACACAAGAAAATATGTCAGCCCGACCACTCTGCGTTTGTAACTCAACAAACGCGAACCTCTAGTTTTCATACTGATTTTGCCATAACTCTCGTCCTACATTGCTTTTTGGGGTACTTTAAACAACAATTTGTCCTTTTACATTGATTTCATCATTATGCTAGTCCTGGGTACCTTTCTAGGTCCCTATGTTTCCCAAATTTGCCAAATGCCATATAATAATCTTCCCATACAAACGGACAAACCGCCAGCACCACCATCACTACTTGAGGTCATCAGATATGGGTGTAAGAAGCGTTCTTTCGTTTTGGACGGTTAGTCATGACGGTTCGTGACAGCTCGTCATGACGGTCGTCCTGGCAAATCACATTCCTCGCTAAAACGAAGGGGCGTGATCAATGGATCTTGGCCAATCAACTGGCTCCTCTGTACGGTAAACTTTGTTGTTCGGGAATAAAGACTTTAGATTATTATTCAAATAATTATGGAACACACACACACACACACACCTACCTGCCAGGGACTGCCACGTCGAATGCCATGGGCGTCGCCAGGATTTTTTCTAGAGGGGGGTAATGCACATTTCGCCCCCCCCCCATAAAACACACAACAACAACAAACAAATACCTGTACTTTTGCCAGCATATTCTCAATTTATCTTTTTTCGAGGGTGGGCATGGGGGCATTTACCCACCACTTTTTTGATGATAAAAAGTAGTAATTAAATAGTAAAGTCTGTCAGGAGCAAGTGTGGCCCATTGGGCCATGGGCAGCGCCGGCATTTATCTCCGGTTTCAGAGAATATTTCTATTCCCCCTGGATGGGATGCTAGTCCATCGCAGGTTACTCCACAGCTAATACCGGCACCCATTTATACTCCTGGTTGGAGAGAGGCAAGCGTGGATGAAGTCTGCCCTAGGACACAACATAATGGCCAGCACCTGAATTCGAACTCCTGACCCTCTGATGCTACGGCACAAAAAAGGAGTTTGATCACTGCTTGCTCAATTGGAAGTTGGTTGCTCCCTCGACAAATAATATGGAAGACATAATCTAACTTTTGAAGCGCATTTCTGGTGCTGCGCATGGCTACCCGAAAATAAAAACGTCAAACTTCAATTTGGAGATTGACGGATCCTCTAAAGTCCTTGGAGTTAATGTAACACATGCCTGTCATCTAAAAATACACAAAATTATGGCTGTTTTGTCTTTGCACAGACGTAATAAAATTATATTCTGAATTATCGAAAGAGCGGTTCGTGGCTAGACTGTACGAATCATAATTTTCTGCATAAGCAATAAAATATGCTCAATATTTTCTAAAAAAGAAGAAGAAAAAAAAAGGATTTTGTGGCTTTTTGGTTTTTGCCGGGCATAATAAAAGTTTGCTCTGTTATTTTTTGGTCCCATTTTAATAGTTTATAAAATTAGGCAGCTGCTGAACGGCAGAGAGGAATTGCAACCGCCACCTCTAAATCTGATACTGTAGAAGGAGGCTTGTTGGAAATGAGAGGCTGCAATTATTGTCCATTTGTCTTTTGTTCTTCCTCGTTTCTACTCATGAATATTAATTTGTGAAGACAATTTATTTTAAAGCCAGCCATCCAGTCAAAGTAATAGAAGCAGAAAAAAAGCTGCCTAATATGGGAGACGTGATCCACTTTTTTTTGGTTCACATTATGACTACTCAAAAACATAAGCAGTGTCGGTAGACTTCAATTTGGAATTTGACAGAGCCTCCGAGTCCCTGGAGTTTATGTAACATATGCTTATCATCTAAAAATACATGTTTTTTATTACGTTCTGTTGAAACTAAACTGGTGAGGTACCATTGCAATCAATTAATGCGAAAAAAAGAGAAGTGTATGAAATAAAATAATTCTTGTTATTTCGCCCTGGGGTTGTGGTGCGTGTGCCCTTGGGCAAAGCACTTAATTTGCCACTCATTTGGCCCACCCAAGATTTTTTTTTGTAGTGGGGGCAAAGCAAATCCTTGTATTCTCTCTAGCATATTTTCAATTGATCATTTTGTTTTTGGGTGGGCGGGGGACATTTGCCCACCCCACCCCCAGTGACACCCCTGCAGACGCCCATTTTGTTAAATGTGTATTAAATTAATAGCAAATATGACTTAAACTAGGCAGGAGGCACATGTCGTGCAATGTTTAGAATTCTGAAAGAAAAGAATTGAGAAAAACCCTCTTCCATGCAGGCACAGATGAAGTCGCACAGAAAAATGAAGGATTATGGGGTATATTGCAAAAGTGGCATTTTAGTGTTTGAATCCACATGTACATAGTATATATAAACACATGCACTGGGTTCAAAACTACATGTAGTGATGAAAGTTTGCCAATTTATTCTCGCAATAAACAAATGAACCCTGTAATCCATCATGTTTTTGTACGAGTTCATCGGCGCCTTAAGACAGTCCCTGCATGAAAGAGATTTCTTCCTGCTCCTTTTCTTTAAGAACTTTAAACATCGCGTGGTAAATAAATGTAGGGCCTATGGCCTTGTACCCCTTTTGAAACTCCCGCACTAATCCCATTCAAAGTGAGCAACTGCATGGGCTGGCTTTCAATTTCCATTGTTGTTGCATTCGATTTCAATTTGCATTGTTGTTGCATTCTAAAGTCTTTATTACGAATAACAAAGGTTACCGTACAGAGGAGCCAGTTGATTGACAAAATTTTATTGATCACACCCCTTCGTTTCAGCGAGGAATGTGATTGGACAGGACGACCGTTATGACGAGCTGTCATGACGAACCGTCATGACTAACCGTCCAAAAACGAAAGGACGCTAGAAAGACTTGTGCGAATAGAAACTGCACGTGCCGAAAGTAAGGTCTCTCTTGTTCAACTGCTTGCACTGAAAACCGTGGCACTAGTTGTTCCAACTCGCCACCACCAGACATTGATCCTAGGCTGCTGAAGATTATAGTCTGCCACATAAGTGTTTATTCTAAGATACAATGATGTACGTGTAGATGATAACAATCAGACTAACATTGCATGCAAGCCAATATGGATGATAGGCCGCCAATATGAATCTTTGTGATATTTCTGTATTCATAACTGAACTTGGATTATCAGGAAAAGTACAATTGTTTTCTCCCTTCACAGTAATCATATAATGATAAGAAGTTAAGCTACGCTTTCATTTCATTTACTATTCCGTATTTGGTATTTTGAGTTGCATATTCGAATGTGATATTGTTAAGTGATTTAGCGAGAACCACTTAAATAATTGCGACTTTAACTATGATTGTGTTTTTATTTAATTGACTTGCTACTTATTCCTTTTTAGTTGTTAAGAATTAGTATTTAACTTTGTCATTCTGTTCTTGGATGAAGATTACTCAATATGTATCTTGCGCCTCTTAAATCAGACTCAATAAAAGTGCAAAACCTGATGAATAGTTACCCCCGCAACCCATTTTCCATGGCCTAAGTCCCAACATGGGTCCTAATTGTGCTGTAACTTCAACTTTACTTTACTTTATTTGAATTCATGCAAATTAATATAAGGCATTTATGCAAATTATTATACGGCATTCGGCAAAGTTGGGAAACATAGGGATCTCGAAAGGTACCCAGGACTAGAATAATGATGAAATCAACGTAAAAGGAATTTTTTTTGTTTAAAGTACCCCAAAAAGTAATGTAGGACGAGAGTTATGGCCAAATCAGTATGAAAATCATATAATTAGTGGCCATTTTGAATTTATGCAAATTAGGCATATTTCCACCACTTGGATATTTTTTTTTTTACTTTTGTTTTCGGGACCATATAAAGATGCTCTGTGGTGTGATACATAACTGAACTAGAAGTTATTAGGGACAATTCAATTGTGGCATGTCCACACATGACAGCCATAATTTTAATTTTAATTTATATGCAACTTAACATACGGCATTTATGCAAATTATTATACGGCATTTGGCAAAGTTGGGAAACATAGGGATCTAGAAGGGTACCCAGGACTAGAATAATGATGAAATCAATGTAAAAGGACAAATTGTTGTTTAAAGTACCCCAAAAAGCAATGTAGGACGAGAGTTATGGCCAAATCAATATGAAAATCATATAATTAGTGGCTATTTTGAATTTATGCAAATCAAGCATATTTCCACCACTTGGATTTTTTTGTACTTTTTTTTTCGGGACCATATAGAGATGCTCTGTGGTGTGATATTTATGTATACATACATGTAACTGAACTAGAAGTTATTAGGGAAAATTCAATTGTGATGTCAACACATGACAGCCATAATTTTAACTTTAATTTATGCAAATTAATATACGGCATTTATGCAAATTATTATACCGCATTTGGCAAGTTTGGGAAACATAGGGATCTTGAAATTTACCTAGGACTAGAGTAATGATGAAATCAATGTAAATTAAAGGACTACAATTGTTGTTTAAAGTTCCTCAAGAAGCTAATAGTATGAGAAATATGACCAAATCATTGTGAAAGTCCTAATATATGCGGCAATTTTGGATTTATGCAAATTAGGCATATTTCCACCACTTGGATTTTTTTGGACTTTTAGTATGTCATTTTAGGGACCTTAAAGAAATGCACTGTGGTAAAAAAATTCTGTTGCAATTTGTTTGAGGTCAAACCTTATATTGCCTGGACTACTTGGCCTTGAGGGTCAAAGCCTTTGCTCCAACACTGATATGGATACCTTAAGTTTTGGGACTCTCATACACAGTATTGAGAGTCCCAAATTTTCGGACTACAACTGCCGATACTAAAGGGGCTCTAACTACCGTCTCTCGCATTACACCCCACCCAACCCCGTCCCCAGGGTGTCGAGCAGTACGCGCCCACCACTACCTGCTCTCGGAAACCGTGTTGGAAATAAAGTAAGTACTGGGGACGAGGTTGCAACCCACCGTGCTGGGTGCAGACCAGTAAATCGGTCCGAAGTTGCCTGCGCCGGCCAAATCACGATTTGCATGCCCTCAAAATCTTCGGTATTTGAGCATGCTGTGTGCCATGAACTTGAGGGATTGTAAAAAATATGGGTGGAAGCCGTGCACAGGACTGGGAGCTTGCAGTTCTGTGTAATTTTGATGTAATTTGGACCCTAAAAGCGCTCTATTTTGCAATGGAGTGTAGGCATCGTTTTTCAAAATGGCGATGGGCTTCAGGACTATTTTCAGGGGTGATCATCTTCAGATGGAAATTTCTCCTAAAAGTCATCAGTTGACCCCCCAAAAATTGAAAAGAAAATGAAAGATGATGAAATAAGCTTTAATTTGATGTGTGTCTCGAACACTTTGGAGAGTTGTGAGTATTTTTCCCGAATTTTTGAAGTGGGAGCATTGACCATTGGGGTCTATGGAAGTTTATTTACTGGTCTGCTACCTGCTGTGAAGTTAGCGCTCAACTGGAAGAAGAAGAAGAACTCTTGGTGGCGCACTCTTCTGACCGGGAAGCTCGCACGTATCGCTCGCAGCGCAGTGATGTTTTACTTTTTCTGGGAAAGCGACTTCTGACAATGACATGTCTGAGGAAAAGCGATGTTTTGTATTTAGACTATTATGGTAAGATTTGGCCCCATAAATGTGGCCAATTTACTGGGCTACCTCCGTAAATAAAGGCCACATTTCCACCATGACATGTACAAAAACATGTCGAACTTTGTCAAATTTTGATTTTCACATACACTTACAGTTACACAGTTGGGTCCTACACTTCATGACTTTTTAATACGGCCTAGCCCTAGGCCTAGTTTGTAGTTTATTTTTGCTTTACTCACCCTCTTTATCATGTTTATAGGCTAATCAGAAAGTGCTGCCTTTTTCAGATGTCTAATTTTCGTGAAATTTCATGTTGAAATGTTGATGTACGCAAACGTGTGCAAACGAATCTGTAAATTTCATGAAAAAATAGACATCTGAAAAAGTCAGCACTTTCTGATTAGCCTACAACGAGGGTGAGTATGCTTATAATGCTTCTAAAGCAAAAATAAACTACAAACTAAGCCTAAAATGTGAAAATCAAAATTTGACAAAGTTGGACATGTTTTTGTACATGGTGGAAGTGTGGCCTTTATTTACGGAGGTAGGCCTACTAGTCCAGTAAATTGGCCACATTTATGGGGCTAGGTAAGATTTTGCTCTCTTATTACATTTACATTTTGTCAAATTTCGTACCAGAGAAGTAGTCCGACATGTCAGAGTAACTTGGACCTAGGCTAGATCCAGTCGTTTTCCTAGTTCCGGATTTTCTCTGAGTTCTGGATAGCTTAAAATATTTGCCGCTCTAGGTAATGCCGGCAAGCTAACGTTTACTAAAGGTTTGCCGGTGGCAATCCATATCAACAGAGGGCGCTGTACTCTAAGATAGGGCTGAATTATAAGATGTATTAAAGGGGCACTAGGTCCTGAAATCCCAGAAAATGTTATGTTTTGGATTGTTTACTTAGCCTATTTCAAACATCTGGTTGAAAGGAAACCAACCTAATGTCTCACCGTTCCCGAGAAAAGACGAAAAAAAACCGCTTGTTTACATCGGACATGACGGAGTACGAATACCTTTTTCGTGTCGTTCTCATGTACGCTATACACGTTGTGTGTCTCGGGAACAGCGCGCGGTGACCAATCACCAATGCAAAAAATTGTGGTTTCTTCAACGTCCGCAAAAGGCGAACACTACGCGTACGAATGAAAGCATCCAAACAGCTCGAATTTATGGGGTCGCAAAAGTGGACCCCGAAATTCGTTCTCACACGCATAATACAGGAATAACACAAAAAAACCCAGTTTTGAAAGGATAGTTGTGTGGATGTTTATATCCTACTTTTAAAGTTATTTCCGATTATCATCATCTCGTTCAAAGCGCGTTTTGTAGCCCAATTGGGCTGTTCCAGGACCTAGTGTCCCTTTAAATTACCACCAACAGTTGTGTAGCACACTTGGTCTAGTGGATAAGCAACGGTTCTCATGAACGGGTTGGCTGGGTTCGATCCCGATCCCCGCTGGCGAAATTTTTAAGGTTTTTTTCCCCATCCCCCCAAAATAATAATATTCTTATTTTATTATTTTAACATGTCTCAAACATTTTATTGCAGAGTATTACATTTTCTTTTTCAGATTTGTGGCTCTGGAGGATTTTTTTTAAAGGGAAATAAAGTCCGAAATTGTAAAATGGTCTGATTCCCATCTTCAATCTTGTGAATACGAAGTTACAATGATAACATTGGCATGGAGCCAGACTAAAATTTGTCACCGGAAAATGTCTAACTTCCAAGTACAAAAAACCAGTAACTGCTAACTGCGCATGTTCAGTGCATATCCGGCAAGCTAACGTTTAATAAAGGTTTGCCGTTTCCGGCAAAATATCCACTTCCTCAAATAAAAAACCTACCTCTTTTGGATTAGTCTCAAATAAATTTTTTTATGACGAAGTGCATTTTGAAAAGGAAAATGTAAGCTCCTTGAGACACAAAGATCTTTCAGATAAAATCTTTAGAAGAGGAATTTCGGCCAGATTTCCGACTCGCACTTCAACATGTTTGGACGGTTTGTAGAAAATTGCGGGAGCTGCGAATCGACGATAATTTTTCTCCTCGGTACATCACTTGTAAGTTGAACTGTGTGACTTTGAATATTTTGTTCATACACTAGTCGTATAAACTCTTCAAAATAAGTTGTAAAGTCTCTATTTTTGAAAATTTGCTAACGAATGACCGTATGCTTTTGCCTTGTCTCATAAATGTGATGGAAATACTGGACTACCTCCGTATTAGTATTACCGTCACACATGAGTTTTTGAGTTGAGTTTTTGGGTCAATGACAAAATTTTGTCGACCGAATGCGGTTTAGGCCAAAAAAAATAAAACAGGTTTTTTTTTGGCCTTAGCTTGATCCTACTATTGTCAGACCATGTCCGAATGTTAAAAAGGCAATAAGTTGGGTCCAAGTTACTCGGACTGCCGGTACAGTACTTCTAGAATTAGTCCCATAAATATGACTGAAATACTGGACTTATTGTACCTCTGTATGTTCAGTCACACAATGTGATGTGGGTGATTCCATTTATTAGGGTACCAATTGTAACTTGCTACTTTTCTTGTGTTACCAACACCAATTTATACTCAACAAAACCTTCAAAATTGGTATCATGAATATGCGTTGTTGTAATTTTTATCAAAAACAGGCTAAAATTACAACTTTTTACGCAGTTATTTGTGACATAAAAATGGACCATGATAAAACTTAACCTTTTTCTTTTGGGGAGGGGGTACCTTGGTTATTTGTGAACTGAATGATGGTTAACCCATTGTTTTTGAAAATAAAACTCACATTTTATGAACAACTTGATATTTTTCTCATTACAAAAGGTTTCGCAAAAATGGGTTTTACGTGTAAACTTTTGGTGTCCCGTTTTACACGCGAAATTGTGTACCTATTACTGGTTGTCCTAGCCATACCAACTACTACAGCCTTGTTATTTTCATGTATACAGGTAATGTAAGCCTGTACTTGGTTTTAAATCATTGAAATATTTTACCATGTAATTCAAGCAAACAGTAAAATATGGGAATTTTAAATTTGGAAAAAATTTTGGTGTCCCACCCCTATTTACGTTGTGAAACTTTACAATTACAATAAACAGTATTTTGCTCAACTTAATATGTTGACATTTATAGCTAAAAATATTATTTTCATGGAGCTATTTTATATGTCAGCACAAAACATTCTGAAAACGTGTTTCATCTATCCAGAATTTGACATTTAAGGCACAACAATTTTGGTGTCCCACCCTAAACTATTTACACTATTTACCATAATTGGGTGATAAAAATAATTACAGACTTATAATTGCGTTCTCAGCCTGAAATTAGCCAAGTCATCTAAAGTACACATATAAATGGTATTAAATAGATTTTAATGTGGTTCTAATGTGACAAAAAGCATTTTGGTGTCCCATTTACACGTGAAACTCATAATTTCTCGATAAAACAAGACATTTTGAGGGTTAGCATTAACTTTGACCCTTGACCTATTTTCAAGAAACTTCCCAAATATGTAAATTCACATGAGAGTTTTGCAAAATATATGATGAAAAGTGATGATTTGTGCATTTAGGGCCAAATGTGTGCATGTCACAAGTTGGTACCCGAATAACTGGAATCACCCAAATGGTCTGATGTGCATGGATAGTCCCGTTGCTAGGGGGCCCCCAAAATCAATTTAAGATCGAAATTATTTTGTCACCAGAATATCACCCCAGCTTTTAGTTTGACTGCTAAATAGCAAAAATAGCAGGGAACCAGACTGGAGCTTTAATCATCTACTGAGCGTGCGTCAACTTTAGCAAAGTGCACCGTGGCTTTTGCCTGTCATAAAAAAATCTTTTGAGTACCCGGATGCACTACGCGGCCACGGGTGAAGAGCGCACCCAAGAGGGCGTGCCTCACTGCAGAGAGCTCCAAAGAGTTTATTGCAACATCGTGCCCCGTGGGTACGATCTTGCAGCGCCATGTTGTTTCCCATCATGCCTTGCGCGATTGTAACCCCTGGAATTGTGTAATTTAAATGTACCAAAATACGGTACATTATAATTAGGGCTGCAGTTTATCCGTTTTACGTGCCGATGCCATCTTTAAAATGTTAAAAGTTGTCATTTTGAAGAATCAATCCTTTCAAACACAACGTTTTGACGTTGTGTTAATTAGCAAAGATTTGTATTAAATGTACGTACCCCTTTCGTGCCTTTACAACCACAGATACAGTTTTTTTTTTAGCGAAAAACGACGCTGACATAATCCATATTGTACAGGCATCGCGACTTTTGAATCATAATTTTTTTTTCCGACGTGACGTTACGTGCAAAGCTAAGCACGCGAGCGCATTATGGGCGCGCCCGGCGTGCAATCTTCGAAATGCCCGCGCAGTACGCTGTGAATAGCCATTCAGCATCATTTACGTCATCATCACAGCCAGGGGTTAGTGTAAGGAACGAGCACGCGCCCCTGGAGTCGAGGCTGAGTTTAGTGCAACTCCCGGTGTGCACAGCCATTAAATTTGTCCCGTCATTTGATTTGTGTGCAGACAAATGGCAAATGTATAGTCCTGCGCCGCTACACAGTGCTATACGATCTTTGGCTAAAGGGCTAGCATGTTGCCAGACTAGACCAAAATGATATGACATTTCTGACGTAGCCTAACGGTGCATACCAGCGACACCATGCGTGCGCCAGACGACGGCTGTTTTATTATGCACTGATGCATTGTGAGCGCGGTCTGCGAGATAACGAAGGAGAACGCATGGACAACTCACAGTGCATCATAAAACAGCCATCGTCTGGTACGCAAGCCATCGTCTGGCACGCATGTGGTGTCGCTGGCATGAACCATTAGGCTGCGTCCAGCCTCGACTCCAGGGGCGCGTGCTCGTTCCTTACACTAACCCCTGGCTGTGATGATGACGTAAATGATGCTGAATGGCTATTTACAGCGTACTGCGCGGGCATTTTGAAGATTGCACGCCGGGCGCGCCGGGCTTGCGTGCTTAGCTTTGCACGTAACATCACTTACGAAAAAAAAATTATGATTCAAAAGTCGCGAAGCCTGTACGATATGGATTATGTCAGCCGCGTTTTTTCGCTAAAAAAACCCCTGTATCTGTGGTTGTAAAGGCACGAAAGGGGTATGTACATTTAATACAAATCTTTGCTAATTAACACAACGTCCAAAGGTTGTGTTTGAAAGGATTGATTCTTCAAAATCACAACTTTTAACATTTTAAAGATGGCGTCGGCACGTAAAACGGATAAACTGCAGCCCTAATTATAATGTACCGTATTTTGGTACATTTAAATTACACAATTCCAGGGGTTACGATCGCGCAAGGCATGATGGGAAACAACATGGCGCTGCAAGATCGTACCCACAGGGCACGAGGTTGGGCTGCGTCAGAATAGTCAGATCGTTGTGGTCTAGTCTGGCATCATTCTGGCCAAAGATCGTATAGCACCGTGTAGCAGCGCGGGACTATACATCTGCCGTTTGTCTGCACACAAATCAAATGATGCGACAAATTAAACCGTTGCTCACACCGGGAGTTGCACTGAAAAAAGGGGTGTTTTTTAGGGTTCACCTTGATTGTGTTGTCATTTTGAGAGGATCCTTTTTTTGCATAAAGGATTTATAGGTTGTGGCAGGTGAGTTTTTGCTTGTAACTTTAACGAATATGAAAAATATCGGTAAAAAACGTGACCTCCAGCTTTCCATGGCGAATCTCCCCATGTCATGAGCCCAGAAAGCTGGAAATTTCAAGCTAAGTTGATTTATGCCTTCAAAACACACACTTCCTGTTAATAGCAAATGCAAAGTGGTCCGGCATTTTTCAGCAGTCCAGCTTTTGTGTCATTTTCAGCTGATTTTGGAGGCTCGCTGGCATTCGTTTGTGTGTAACTCAGTTCCAACCATGTTGCAATTAAACAATGCTCTCGCGCAATGCATGATGGGATACATGGATTGTCACCTGTCAGTCACGTGGCGCCTGGCAGGCCCGGTGGCTGCTGCTTAATTTCAGTTGATCCTTCATGTATTGTGCGCCCTCTTTCGTGTACCGTCGGCCAGCTAGCTGTACGATGTACATGTACGTACATATGCACGTGATCCTGTTCGCCCGCGGTATATAATAAGATTTGTTGCGTCCTTATGCCACTTTTTTCATCATTATCTCAATGAAGGTCAGTCATTGTAAAAATGTTGAAAAGACATAAATTTAGAACTCAGAAACATTTCCAATTTTGTTAGAAAATACTTTGAAAATGCACTCTTTCCATAGACTTTGTACACAACCACAGAAGTGGCGTCAGGATACTACATTCTTCTGGATGCAACATTCGTTCTGCTTTTAATTTCCACATAACTGCACACAGAAGAAAGATGATGTGATGGACGATCATGACAGTAAAATTGACGTCACGTGTCATTGCGTGTTGCGTGTAAAAAGATATACGCAGAGATCGTCAGCGATCCTCTTCTGAGGATTGCTACCTTGTCTTGGTGGAAGGGCTTGTGTGTTCCGACTGGATCCCAAGAGCAATGCCGTCGGTAGTCTTAGTACTACTGGCAGGGTCACCCTAGGTGGTAAGGTCGAGGTGGAGGAACCAGACCAACAGCAATCCATTCCAAAGTCCTCAATGGTGGAGCAGGCGCACGTCATCATTGTTGGGTGTCAACAGCTGTGAAGGCGGAAGAAGGCTGCAACAGAAGGTGCTTCCCCAGTCATCGAGGTTTCATCGCCACTGGACTTGGATCCACCTTCTGCCAAGGACCATGTGTCTGTCGACGTGCAACGGCATTCCCACATTAAAAGATGTCCCGCACAAGGCGTCTACCAAGGGATACCATCAACCCTGCATATCCTAATAGCACTGTGGCGATCGGTGAGTGGCGGTGGGGACAGGTCTGTGAGTCCGGAAGTGCCAGGTCTCGGACCGGCACGTTAGGCGGTGGAGTCTGATTCAGTTGTCTCACTCTTGGATAGGAACAGGAGAGGGATTCGGCAGCTTGCTCCACGACTGAGCAGCCCTCTTCTTCAGGATCCACTCTGCTCACCCTAGACAGGGAGGGGGATAGAAAAGGTGCCCTTAACATAGCCTGTTCCACCTCTGCCCAGGCTGGAAAGCCGCATCCAGTTGGCTCACCCTCATGCGGTTGAAAAATTTATATAAATTTATACTTTGGATCATGGAATGTACGGACCTTAATGGACCATGGACAATCTGAACGATCGGAATGAAGAACCGCACTTGTTGCTCGAGAATTAGATGCTTTAATATTGATATCGCAGCACTACAAGAAACCCGAAGAGCCAGGGAAGATCAACTGAAGGAAGAGGGAGGTGGCTACACCTTCTTTCAGAAAGGCAAATCGGAGGACCAACTTAGGATTCACGAAGTTGGTTTCGCCATTAAGAATGAACTGGTCAACCTTATCTCGTAGCTTCCTGTTGGCATCAGCGAATGCCTCATGACACTCCGTCTTCAAGTGGCTAAGAACCAGCATGCAACAGTCCTGAGTGCATATGCTCCAACACTTGATAAGGATGATGAGATCAAGGAAGCCTTCTACTCAACCCTTGATTCCATTCTCTCCAACATCCCGAAGGAAGACAAGATCATCATCCTTGGGGATTTCAATGCCTGAGTTGGAAGAGACCACCAGCTCTGGAACGGCGTATTAGGTAAAGGAGGGAGTCAGCAACTGCAACTCAAATGGTGTCCTCCTCCTCACCAAGTGTGCGGAACACCAGCTCGTTATCACAAACAGTCTTTTCTGCCAAAAGAACAGATTCAAAACCACCTGAAGACACCCACAATCAAAACATTGGCATGTGATCGATTATGTCATTCGATCCCAACACCAGAAGGATGTCCTTATCACCAAGGCGCTGATTGTTGAACAGACCATCGGCTTGTTAGCTCCACCATGTCTTTGAAACTCCATCACACTTGACGGAGGACTAAAAAGCGCATCGTATGGTAGTTCAATATTGGGTGACTTCATGATCCCTTTGTTCAAATGAGTCTTCAATAGTCTCTCCGCAAACACTTTGAGGCCCAACAAGCTGGTGGGGTGGAGGAGAAGTGTGCAGAGCTGAAAGCAGCAATCATATCCAGCTGCGAAGAATCTGTCGGCTACAAAACAAAGAAACATCAAGATTGGTTTGATGAAAAGGACCAAGAGATCCAGGATCTCATCGACAATAAGCGTGTGGCCTTTCAAGCGTGGCAAAAAAACATCACTAATGAGACAAAAAGGGCTAAACATCAAGCTCTTAAGGCCGATGTGCAAAAGAGGACCAGAGAGATCAAGAACAAGTTGTGGACTGACAAGGCTAAGGAGATTATAGCCCTTGCTGATAAACATGATACACTGGGCTTTTTCAGCGCCACCAAGGCAATATATGGCCCAACTGTGCAAGGTCTGAAGGCAGTCAGGACAAAGGACGGAACGCTCCTCAAGGACACCAGAGGCATCAAATGCCACTGGAAAGAACATTTTGATGAGCTCTTCAAGTTCAACTGTGAAGCTGTGTTCGATGACGGGGTCTTCGAGGATATTCCACAGCTCCCAAATAAGGAGGATCTCGGTCTTGTTCCTGACTTGGTTGAAGTTAAGCATGCCATCAAGGGTATGAAGTATGGAAAAGAGGCCGGTGTAGATGGAATCCTGCAGAAGTTTACAAACTAGGAGGAGAAGATCTTACTCGATCCCTCCATCAGCTCATTGAAGAGATCTGGGAAGCTGAAGTAACACACGTGACTTCAGAGATGCACTTATTGTCACCATCTTCAAGAAGGGAGATAGAGCAGAGTGTGGTAACTACCGGGGAATTGCCCTATTGTCCATCGCCGAGAAAATCATCACTAGAATACTAGTGAAACGTCTGTTGCCTCTCTCTGAAGGCATTCTCCCAGAATCGCAGGAAGGATACCAACCAAACCGTGGTGCAACGGACATGATTTTCACAGCCCGGCTGCTCCAAGGAGAAATGTCGTGAGCAGCACCAACCACTCTACATTGCGCTCATTGACCTCACAAAGGCCTTTGATTCCGTAAATTGTGAGGCTCTGTGAAGGATCCTCTCCAAAGCTGGCTGTCCAAATAAGTTCATCACCATCCTCAAGCTGCTTCATGACAAGATGTCAGCAACAGTCCTGACAGACGCCAGTGAGACCGAAGCCTTTGAGGTGAAGACCGGTGTCAAGCAGGGATGCGTTATCGCTCCTACACTTTGCTCCATTTTCATTGCTGCTATCACCCATCTTGTGAAGAACAAGCTCCCCAGCGGATGCGACATCATCTACAGGATGGATGGAAAGCTGGTCAACCTCAGCCGGCTAAAGCGCGAACGGGCCCTCAGAAAGGAGAGAGAAAGGACTTTCCTGCCACGTATGCGGCCGAAAGTGTGGCTTAAGGATTGGACTTATCAGCCACTCAAGAGTCCACAGGGACCCAAATTGAAGTCTGCTTGGTAGACGATCATACTCGTTCGCGATTGATCACGAATGTTGAATATCAACTAGCTTAATTTTGTGGAAAGACAAAAATGAAAGAGGGCAGGATTTTGATTTATAAACGGAACTTGTAAAAAGTAAGAGGTGTCCTAAACTACAGTCTTCCATGCATCCACACGACTACCAAATTTTTTTCTTCACAAAACTGCACGGAGAGGGAAGGTAATGTGACAATCGATCATTGACGGTACATTGACGTCAGTACGTGTCGCATGCAAATTTGTATGCACGAATTTGGGGTACTCTACAATACATCAACAATACATCAACAATACAGTATTAAAATACTTTGGCCATCAGACTTTCTTTAATTGTCTTGAACCATCTTGTCATCCATTGTTTTGTGTTTACAGAGCCTTTTGATGATCGTGAATTCTAGTGCAAACAATGGAAATGTTGGATGATCAAGCTTGTCCACGCTGCAAATCAACCAAATTCAGAAATCCTGCCCTCAAGCTTCTGGTTAACGTCTGTGGACACACTTTGTAAGTACTCTGTGCATCACTACCTACAATTCACTACTCTGTTAGTTAAGAGGATTGTTTAAGATTGTGAAAACATGCTGTACAAAAACAGGGTAAATTGAAGATTGTTGGGATCGGAATCAAAACGATGTCTTGACGCGGGTCTGCTTCATGCTGACGCAAATTTCATGCACTAGCCTATATTAGTGAACACCTTATGACAGTGTTTCAAAGCCAGCAAGAGGTGTGTTATAATCATCACTGGTGACCACTATTTGTGGTTGTGGCCCCGTTAGGCCAAACAAAAAAATACCTTTGGTTCGAGTCACCCGACCGACCCTATTTTTGAAAGCGATAAAATGCGACCCCAGACAATTTTATTGGTTATTTGGGGAAAAAAGTATTACGATACCGACTCCCGATCATCGCCGTACGCCAGAACAATTTATAGGCATTTATCAGCAAGTGATTTTTTTTTCTTTCTGGTATTATCTGAAAGAAAAAATTGTGGTCTAACGTCAGTTTTTGTGTACTTAGTTACGTTGTACTAAGACTGCTTGGGTCCTTTGTCACGTAATCGTCATTGCAACGCAGTCCAAAAAGTCTGGTCCGTGTGTCTCATGTTCCTCCATACATATACACGTGTGTGCAAACAGCGCGGCATTGCATGCCAGGGGAAATTCACACAGCATTGTCTGTGCCCAACGAGCAATTCTATTGGTTGACCGCGAGTTACACGGCTGCACAGACTTTCGAGCTTAGATGCCATGCATCATGGAAACCCATTTTGGATGAAATTTTTGTTTGAAATTGTGGGAGAAATCATGGAAGCAAAGTGTCCTAACAATTTTGTTTAAACTAAACGCTTTTAGGTTGCTGAAAGCAAGTCTTTGTTGAAATTGTGTTAGCCAATAGGAAAATTTGTTATGCCATATTATTCCACCAATGGCCACGTGCGTTGTAGACTTCACATCGGATTAGACGGCCGCACATCTTTCGTGGCTTTCGGTTGGCTCTCGATCTCGTGCACATGCACGCAAGACTGCAATTTGCTCTAGACATCAGAGAATGTGAACATTTTCCCAAAACAAAAAGGAAATTTCTTCCAGTGAAATCTCAAAATGACATTCAGGGAATTCTTTGTGAAAAATCATGGGAAGTTGACGATGATTTTTCAGTTAATATTGCCGCAACAGGCCAACCTGATGAACCCCGGAGAAGCGTGGAGAACGTCGACACGACATTGTATGAACCATGTTCCTTGCTCTATGGTTGAACTTACGAACTGCTTACGATAAAACGTGTCTCAAAAATCATACCAAAACACTTTGATTGGGGACCACTTAAACATGTATCGTTCCTCACATGTATTGGCTCCAACAAAAAAAATGTCATGCCGACCACCCGACCCAATGTTTTTCTAACCATGTGACCTGAACCAAAGGATTTTTTTTTGGCCTTATAAAAATAGTCCATTTATCGCGGCATTGGGACTAGTCTTGCGGCCACCAGGACTAGTCGTACCACTCTTTACTAGTCGTACCACTGCGACTAGTCTTCTGCTGTGACTTGGTAGTTGTGCCAATTTCCTTGCACTGCAAGTTTTTGAGAGATTTGTCGCAAATTATGTTTTTGTGTGCCGATGCCTGACACTGGTGCAGTCAAAATGGATACATTGTGTACATGTACATTATAACACAATGTTCACACATAAAGGTTGAAGGTTGTGACAATGTAGAGTCCATGTGTTTACACACAGAAAATTAGCCTTGGTCAAGGCGCTAGTTGTTATTCATCCGGCCGTAGCGCGGTAAAAACGATATTTTCGCTAGCGCTATGCATGCAGTCATTATGTCGATGCATGCAGTGCATTAAAAATACAGCGCGAACAGCGACCTCACGCGGCCACAATTTTTATGCAAATCAGTTGGACCTAATCTAGTGCCTTGGTTCAATCGTCCATGTGAGGTTTGGGGGGTGGTGCTCATTATGTTAATAGCCTTAGCTGACCTTAAATGTCGTTTTCTTATTGGTCGATCGTTGCGTCGGAACTTGCATAGTGAAACGTGGCACCGTACATAATCCATACACGTACACGTTGTGTGTCTCTGCACACGGCACCAATGCACAAAAACTGTGGTTCCTGTCACGTCCGCAAAAGGCGAATGGCTGCAAATAATTTGATGACTTCCGGATTTACCAAGGTGTGATTGGACACTCCACATATTAGCCCCGCCTACACTTATCTGTATTCGCATACGAGGTCGTGCGCTAGAAGTCCAGCGCAAAATAAAGAAAAACATAAGCTTTTGCCGACGATTGAACCAAGGCGCTAGATTGGGTCCAACAGATTTGCATAGAAATGGTGGCCGCGTGAGGTCGCTGTTCGCACTGTTTTTTTAATGCACCGCATGCATAGCGCTAGCGGGGATATCGTTTACTGCGCTACGGCCGGGATGAATAACAACTAGCACCTTGACCAAGGCTAACAGAAAATTGGCTTTCGTTAGTTATCGTAACTGACTCAACCATGGCAAATAGTCACGACTAGTTTGGTAGTGGCAACTCTATTTTACATGACTATCTGACTAGTGAGGTTTACTAGTTGCACAACACTAGCCTGGGGTGCTCTTTTCCCCTGGTTTGCTTTCCTTATTAATTTAATAAATTCCTCTTTTTTTCGGAACAAGAGACAGTAGTATGAACCATGTGAATGTCCCTTTGGTTAATAGCTTTCAGTGCTAAGCTATGGTCTGCATGAACTGTACATGTACATGAGTGTGTATGAAGAACCCTGATCTCCTTTGTTTATGCCTCCTCGTACAGATGTGAAAACTGTGTGGAAGTGTTGTTTGTGAGAGGCTCTGGGGCCTGTCCATCCTGTAACACTCCACTCCGCAGGAACCAGTTCCGTGTTCAGGAGTTTGAAGATGCCTATGTGGAGAAGGAGGTGGATATACGGAAACGCATACTGAAGGAGTTAGTTTTTGTTTTTGCTTGTCTTAATTGCTGTACATGGATTTTCAGTGGTTGCAATTGCAAAATGGCCAATCAAAGCTTGATGGCCAAGCAGGGCTAACAATATCACACTTGGATTTCTTCTTTTATAATTTTTATTTTAATAGTGGCCCACAAATGCTTCAAGTTTGAAATCCATCAATTAAGCAGTAATTAGATGTGGGGCAGAGAAGTTTTTTGTTTTTGCTTGTCTTAATTGCTGTACATGGATTTTCAGTGGTTGCAATTGCAAAATGGCCAATCAAAGCTTGATAGCCAAGCAGGGCTAACAATATCACACTTGGATTTCTTCTTTTATAATTTTTATTTTAATAGTGGCCCACAAATGCTTCAAGTTTGAAATCCATCAATTAAGCAGTAATTAGATGTGGGGCAGAGAAGAGCATAATATTCGACTGTCTCTATCTTGCATGCACAGGCACTCAGCATACTGTTGCTACATGTACATGCATACATTGTATGTATCACTGCTTGAAAATCTGCATAACAATTTCACCCTGGCCAAGGGGAAATCTTGACAGAACAATTGTAATGAACAATTTTCAAAGAATGAAGTTTGTAGCCTTACGGTACGTACAAGTTGATGCTGAAATAAGACGCTCGCATTCAGTGCCAAATGACTCAAAATGATAGCAGCAACAAAAATCACTTTGCTCTGCTTATATCAATCAATTCCTTGTAGTTCCTTTGGCTTTTCTCTTGTGTTTGTCCAGGTTCAACCGCCAGGAAGATGAATTTACATCATTACAGGAATACAACGACTACTTGGAAGAAGTAGAAACCATCAGTAAGCTTTCTTCTTTGCACAATTTGACAGATGAGCTATTTTAGCAAGTAATTTTTGCCTAAGTATTTGGCAGGACCTTGTTATTTGAATGGCTCTAAAATAGAAAAGTTGGAGGTGTTGGATGTTATTGAAAGAGTTTTCAAATTTTCCAACCTGTTCGTAAAGTTGTAGATGACGTCAGGCATCAAATTCAAGTGATTTAAGTTTAAAATATGACCATCTTTGTTTATTTATATAAATAATCACAATCAAACTTTGTCATGTTGTAGATCATACCTTGATAAACAATTTTGGTCTGGTACGTGAAATCGTTTGACCTTAATTAGGGTAATTGGAAGGTCAGAGTTAAGTGAAATTAAAATACCAACAGAAGCCTGAAAATTAAAACAAACTTATTTTCTTTGAAATGGGTCAAGGGATGAATATAAAACCTGGTATGAACTTGAACCCTGGTCTGAAGATGTGAGAAATCTTGTGACATCTTCATGATGTCATCAGGTATCAAATTACAAGCGATTTAGGGTTCAAATTTGAACAATGACTCTTGAATTTAACTTTTCAAATGAATGGAGTACTGTTCTCATTATTTGTAATTGGTTAGACATTGCCTCAGGCAATATTTTTGATTCCCGGACACAAAGCCATTTGACTTTTACTTCTGGTGTTACCAGAAGTGCAATGACAATGGACTGTAACTTGAAAGGATCGAAAGGGAAGCATTTTACTACAATCGAACAAATTATGGAAATATTTAGTGAAGGATGCCAAACATAAAAAACGGTGCGATGACGTCATCACCCGAATAGGGGCCCTCCAGCGGCACATCAAAGACAGTTGAATTTTAATGAATTTATAAACCATTCCTGAACATTTTACCAAATTGCCCCTGGATATTCTTTGGACAACTACAAATGACTGAGCAAGGTTTCAGAATCATGACGTCATCAGACCAGAAGTTATTGTAGGCAGAATTTGAAAATTATTTGTTAAAAAAAATCCATCATTTGATCCGTGTTCAACAACTATGTTCGTAGCTCAAATAATGATATCCGTTACAATGTTGACCTTGCTTGCCACATGCTGTGATGTCATCAAACTGGAAGTTTGGTGTTATACACATATATACCGGTACAGGGTGTCCCCAAAAGAGGTGACCCACAAACAAAGGGATAATGTGAACAATCTATGAACTTAATGACCATTATTTTTGTTTTAAGCTTTCCATTGATAACTTGAATGTATTCCGCTGATCATGCATCACTGAGTTCCGTTGTTTTGAAAATGGTGTGTGAAAACTCTCTTGGGACAGTTTGGGGCACAGACATAAGACAGGTACGTTCAAGGGATATTTAACTTTTTGAAAACTTGAACAAAACAGAATAATTGTGAACTCTTAAAGGCAGAGTATATCATTTGCAGCTATCCAAAAAGTAACTGACAAAATTATTGTTGAAAATCGTACTTGGTTTTAAAGATAGTATCGGCACAAAACTCCCTGTGAAATTATTCTTTCTGGCATGCTGTCATTTTGAAGAAAACAATAAAAGAAGGTCATTTAGATGCATCTTTGGCAATTTCCGTTAGTAGTTCGTTTTTAATTCAGCGAAGCCTCGAATAGGTGTGGGCAAGCATTGACACAATGCACACGCGTGTGCAGTTGCTGTAACTCATCGGTTAATAGTGGGTGACATCGCGTAGCTGCAATCGAATGAATGAGAACGTGTCCCGGAATGACCCGGATTTTGTTTTCGGACATAACTTAAAACATGACTCAGCAACTTCTAAATTGAAATCAAGATCCTAGAATATTATTTTCTCGGAATACACAGCATTCACAGCCCTAAAACATCATCAGGTTAGTTGTTAAGCGCCCTTATTATAATTATTATTTATTCGGCATTAAAAACACATACAAACAACAAACATTCTCCAAACATTAAAACAAAACAAAAAACAAGGAAACAAAACAAAGCCAGGGGCATATGCCTGGAATTAAAAAAGTTTACCCAAAAACTGTGGCCCGAAGGCCTTCAACTCCAATACCTCTGGCTACACAAATACATGTATAAAATTGTATATTAATCTATAAAAGTCTATAAACATTTATTAACAATAAAAAACATAATATTCAAAATGGCAGAGGTATAAATGCTAAAACGTTAATGTCCCCGTTAAAAAATACATATTATCCCACAGTTGACATCAAAGTAACGTTAAGCACCCTTCTTTAGATTTTGAGCATTTTTGTCGTTTCAAACGAAAAAATGTACAAATGACAACTGACATACTCTGCCTGTAATCATTCAGGATTCAACACCTTGAATATCACCTTGCCCATGTCCACCTGCCCTTTCAACGCAAAGTCCTCAGCTGTGGTGCATGTATTCCATGGCCCATCTGACCATTACACATTGATCACGTAAATTGTCCACCTCGTGCTAAATGCAGACCTGGAGTGCTGAAAAAATTGTTCTTTAAATATACCCCCCCCCAAATAAAAATCCATTAACCTGGGAGGCCATTCCAAAGAATTATTGAGTGTGTGATAGTCTTCCTTCAAAACTTTGTAAAAGCGATTAGTGAAAACAATGAGTCTGTGGGCTGGGGCACCATTTTGGGGCTGCCAGTAATTTTGGAAGATACAATATGTCTTTTACTTACGAAAATGTAACACAAGATCACCCAAAAATATAAAGATGAAAATCCTGTTCTATTCATGTTTCTTGAATATTCCTTGAAGCTACTTGTCCGAAGTCTGGCTGTGTGCACAGTGTTTTACCCCAAACTGTCCCAAGAGAGTTTTTACACACTATTTTCAAAACGATGGAACTCGGTGATGCATGACCAGAGGAATGCATCCAAGATATTTTGGCGCAACTGGTGCTGCCCAAAACTCAGGTCGCCCTGGCCTCATGACTTGAACCTTTCATGGTTAGCCTAGACGAGCGGTGATCTAGGTGACCTACATGTAGGGGATGCGTCCGTTTGGAGGGCTGTATGCAACCAACACATACCAGGTAGTCTCCTTATGGATGGACACTTAAGGGACAGACACCAACTGACAGACTGAACAGACGTCGAATGAACAGACACTTTAATCATCAGATAACAGCGACAGTCAAGTTTCTTTATCTCTAATTCGCTTCAATTAGAATGTACAAATCAATCAACAATAATCACTGAAAAAGCACGTGCGTCAAGGGTTGACCGGTCACCAAGCTTGCCACCACACTCTGGCGACTTAACTATCCGGGCACCCCAAGTTTCTGAGATCCCGAGTGGATACAGCCCACGATAGGTAGCAACCCACGGACCAAGCTCCAGATGCCCGGTGTTTATCCGGCTACTGACATCTTGTCCTCGCCCAGTCGTCAGCAAGGCAGTGCAGCAACACGACAACGTACACACATGTCTGTTTGCAACGAGACGCCGCAATCAACATCCGTTCTCAATGAGGCGCTATGATCAACTGCTTGTCTGGAAAGTGCATGGCCCCACCAACGGAGGGTGCTGTGCAAGCTTGCTGCTGCTCGCGCAGCAAGCACACCATTGTGCTACACAATCAATGGAAAGCTTACTGCCCGTAGTTTATGATAAACAATAATAATGATCAATATGTTCATAGTTTTTTCATATTATGCCTTTGTTTTGGGGTTACCTTTTTTGATGGAAATCCAGTACATTTATTGTTATTTTTTTGAGAATTTATTTTAACTTCAAGATAAATATGTTTCCTGTCTGAAGTTTGCACTTTTGAACTGATGAGGTCATTAAACTGGAGTTAATGTGTACATGTATGTGCAAATAAAATGTATACTGAAATTGATCAAACCTAAAAGGTTTTTTTTTTTTTTTTTAAACCAAATGGTTTATAGACTTGAAAAGGCTAATTTCATGATTCTCTTTTCCTGTTCTGACATATAAATATCCACAACGTAACTTGGCAATGTCCAATAAAATACACGTAGTTGCCTGCTCGATCACCCTGCGCTATACTATTGTTTATATGATGTCAAAACAACATAAAGATGCATCCCATTGACTTTTATTTAATTTGCATCCTTTCTTGCAGTATTTAATCTCACAAATGAAATTGATATGGAGGCGACAAAGAAAAAAGTTGAATTATACCGAAAGAAGAACAAAGAAAGCATCATGAAAAACAGATCCAAGCAGGTAAAATGCTAGTTAAGTGGTAGAAATTCCTAGTTGACTTTACTCATCTCGCTTCAGAAGAAATGAGAAAATAGTGACCTTTCTAATAGAGTCATCCAGCAGGCTGTCTCAATGGACTCTACACAGGAACTGTAGATGGTGATGCAAATGTGTGGCTTGCTTACTCACGAGAGTCACTGAATCACAGCTACAATGATTGCACTACATCACTAGGACTAAATCTTCAACTAATTGTGAACAAAACCTACAGTGTGTATGGGAATAAATATGTGCATGGCTGGTATTAACACTATGTTTAAGACCAGTTGGAGTCTGGGTGCTGATAATTACCCTCGCCTTAGGCTCGGGTAATTATCAGCATTCAGACTCCAACCGTTCTTAAATGGAGTGTTTAAAAATGGCCAAGCACACATTTATTCCTTTATTAAAACTGACTCGGATATGGCCTTTAATGTTGAAATTTTATAATTTTGAAATTTCATAACTTCCCATCAAAGCTTGCTTTAATATGTACATCCAGACTATCCCTGGTCATCATGGTCATGTAGGCGGGTACTCAACATACATGAACTAATGAGTAATCTGGACCCTGAATTTAGTCGACTAAGTCCTGGCCCTGGGCAGTTTTACAATGAAGCTTCATTATTATTCGCAGAAAAATCAATGTAACCATTGAGTGCTGAGTTGTTTTCAGCAGCTGATTTCACAAAACTTTACGCAATGGCATAAGTCCACTTGCGCCACAATTTATTGCGCAACATTTCAGTTATGACAATTTCGCAAAAGATTCATATTGCTTAAGTCCGAGACTTGCACAACAAATTATTATTATTAGTGCAATCATATTAGGTGGTGTAAGTTGTGGTGTTGCGACTGAAAATGACCTTGTTTACAAGGTTGATACAAGACACTCACACCTTTGTGTTTGAAGTAAAAGAGTTGATATTTTATTCGTGACAGAGTTTTTTTAGAGCTGCCGCACAATTCCGAAGAAAGTCAGACAACAATGTTTTCAAAATGGCGGGCGGAGGTGATTCATTGACTGAAAAAAATCATACATGAATAGCCATCGTAAATGCGGTTTATTATTATCCTCGTCCAAGATGTTAAGATTATTTAAAATGTTGCGCAGCTATGCCAAGTTTTGTGAAATCGGTCGTAAGTTTATTGCTTAGCCGCGCAATAAATTTACATTGCATAAGTTACGCACTGTTTCGTGAAATCAGCTGCAGGTGCTACATTGTACATACAGTGAGTTATAGGCAAGGTAGTTTTGGGCACTGCAGTGACTAAACTGTTCAACCTCCAAATGTACATCAGTATGCAATAAACCATTGGCACGTTCTTGGTACTTAAATAAAAAGCAATAATCAATTGTGTCCAATTAATGTTTTTACCAGAGTAGTGATCAGGCTTATCTGGAGGCTCTCATCCAAGAAGAAAAAGAAAAAGAGGAGGAGAAGAGGCAACAGCTACAGTTTCTGGAACGCCAGACAAAAAGCCAGAAGAAACGTGATAAAGAAGCACTTATTGATGAACTGGTCAGTCTCACTGTGGAACTTTCATTTTATGTTTGAAGGAGTGAATGGCTGAGTACATAGGTAAAATCTGAACACCAAGAACAAACTTAAAAAAACATTAATTGGATTTTTTTTAAAACTGTTTTGGGAGAATCTGTTTATTTGGGTGTTTCTGAGCCCTTTTCAAGAAGAATGTGAAACTTGATATTTGGGCCGTGCTGTATTTATTTTTTAGAATGTTTTAGATCATTATAGACAGCATTACATGGAAACAAGTCTTGCACTTAACATGCAGTGGAAATTCAGCTCATCTTGTTTTCATGCACATTACTATGTTTTGCAACAATACATACAAGATCTTAATACCGTAATTTTCAGAATAAAAGCCACCCGGCGTATAAGCCGCAGCGCACCAAAATCTTCAGAATTAGATTCAGGCCTCAATATATAAGCCGCACCATTGTATAAGCCGCACCATAAAGCCGCACCCAAAACTCCACTATTGTATAAGCTGCACTATTGTACGTTAAGCACCGCCGCCGCAAGCAGGGCGGGCTGGACGCACATGCATCAGCAGTCACCCTCGCGGTTGGCAGTGTCGGCACATCGCCACAGAGAGATCATTGTGTTGAGTTGTTACTTGTTAGCAAGTTTTGATAGCGGCACAATGGAATGCAACACCCTTAATGAAAATCTGAATACGGTTGTAATGAAATGGGTGTTAGGGGTTTTCTTTCCAGAGGGTAATTGGAGTTTTTTTCTAGCGCATCTTTTCCCTGGACCTGCGTTCTGATCTGATCGGGAATAAAACAGTTACTGATACTGGCAGGAATTTTCTTGATAAATGTACATTATACCATGGAGGGGTTATATTTAAAAACGAAGAGGTACTTACGTTTTTCCCCCCCCTCGGATCGAAGCGTGAGACAACCAATTATTGTACAGTGTTTTCACTTTTTTTTATTTCATTCTTTTATTAGGATTTTACACAGGAATTATCACGGTGCGAACAACCATATCTCTTTTGGGTTTTTTTTGGTAGCCCTGAAAAGGACAGTTTGATTTTATCTGTCTTTGGCATGTTTGGTAACTTTCAAGCAAAACAAAATGTGAAGCATTCCTTGCATAGAGCTCATCTTACTGCGTCTTTGTCGCTGCTTCTACAGAAAATAACCCACGTTGCAGTCTTGTCAGTTGTGTTATGCCGAATCTGGGGGAGTGAAAAAATGCCGTTGTCTTTGGTTTGATAAGAAAACCGATGTCCATGTTGACTGGTATACATGGCTTGGCAGTCCATCAGCTTGGCCAACAATCTTGCAGCATCTCGCTTAAGGCTTGCTTTCTTGTTCCCATCTTGGCCAATTACTGCTACCGCATTAACATCCCGCATGTTGTTGCAGTCACGCCATAAAGTGTATCTTGCCCCGACTGTGAGGTGATGGTTGTCATAATGGTGCATACCAACAGCTAAAACACCCTTAATGAAGACCTTCATCTTGACTCTTGTTACGACATGGACTATTACTGTTCATTTTGTCATTTCGCCTTATATATCATGAGGAGGGATCTTGGGAGGGATCCTGGAAGAGATTGAGGTGCGATCGAGATAGCCAATCATTATCTTGCCTGCCCAATGGACCAATCACGGCTCTTTTACGGATTTGCATGACTAGGCGCGCGCGTAATAAAACAAACCGTATCGTCGGCTTACCATCACTGTTTTTGAACACAATGGCGTCCAAGCGACATACATGTAGTTATAGTATTGAGCTGAAACGACGGGCTGTAGAACTTGTTTTCATTGGAAGTGACAAGAAAGTGGTAGTTTTTCAATTATTAGCAAATCCTTTCAACAATACATGTAAAAGGGCGCCATTTTGCTTTTGTCACACAAGGTACTCCTTGTCAAAAGTGCATTATGAACAGTACAAAAAATTAGTCCTTCAAAATTACCCACAAAAAAAGTTTTGAAGAAATATTGGCCACTACTATTGTCCAAACAAGTTGTTTAACATGATAAACAAGTAAAAAGTAGAACTTACTCCAAGAAAATGAAGAAAAGTTTGATATATATTTGTACACAAAGCTATGAAGACACTACTGTTCTGCCTTCAATCACGCTTTGGCTCATGAATATGGACATTTTCATTATTATAAAAACTAAAATGTTGAAATTTCTCCCTTTTACTGCTACAAAGGAGGTGAAAAGTCATAGTTACATGGCAAGAAAGCTGTTTTAAATGTATTTAAGTCATAAAAATCCTATTACATGTTCCCTTTTAATCTTGTGCCGGTATCTTTGATTATAGTTTTACATTGAAAGTTCACTGTCAGAGGCTGCATCATTGAATTAGTATCCTGTCAAAACTTGATGGAAATGATAAGTACATTTGAATAAGATAGTATTTCACATGCCTTAGCACCTACATGAAAACGAGCTTTCAGAAGCAAGCATTTGGTGGTGGGTGCTGATAAGAACTTAAAAAAACCATTGCAGTAGGAGTTTTATTTCATTTTTTGCTCTTTCAGTAACCGAGGGTAAATGAAACATTACAAATATTGAAACAAGCCAAAAAAAATCATCCGTGAAGGTAACAACTTTACACATTTGTATACAAATCATGAATTATTTAATATCGATACTCAAGAGATCGATGTGCAAGTTTAAATTTTACACAATGCATTTCCGTCCCATTTTATCTCTGCAGATATACTCAGATATGCCAGCGGCCCGTGTGATTGCTAGCCATACTGCCAACGTCGAGACACAAGAAGCACCCGTTTTCAAACTACCCAAGAAAATGACCTTAGCTACTGGCATCAAAGTGGTACGCACATTGTTTTCACTGACTGATATAACGTTTGACTCAATCTTGAAGCCAAGGCTGTGTCAAGTTACTGTTTTTTTTAATCCTCAATTGAGTAAACAGTAGGTACATTTCTTGCATACATTTCCTTCCTACATTTCTTGCATACCCATGGCAAGTCATGAGTGCAAACATTCTAATTTTCCTAAATTTTCATAAAAAAAATAATACAAGAAGAAGGAAAAAAAATACCCAGCGGTCTCTTGGGGATTGTCTGTCATGTCAGTCATGGCTGTGCTGTTCTGTTGTCATCAATAGCCAACCTCTGCGTCTCGATAGTCCACCTCGTTCAAATGGTAGATAAATGGGAAGATTGCATAAGTGAACCTTCCAGCATATGGGGACGAGGTTGGCTTGAAAGTCGGGAGTGGTCAAGGTTTTTTCGGTACAATGCGTGCAAGCCAATGTGGCAGTACAACACAGTTCGGTAAATAAGTGGCGCTTACTCAGCGCTGAAACCAGGCTTGAATTAAAGACTAGTCCAGCGCTGACACATTTTTTTTGCAATTAACATGGGTCCATCACGCATGTATTTTTGTGGGAGATCCTTTGAAACACCTTTGAACACCTTTGAATACGGCAATAGCTACTCATAATGAAGCTGAAATAACCCTCATTTATTTTTAAATAAAGTGTCTTAGAAAACTGAAAATATTGTACGAAGTTTTGTGTGCTTGGCAATTTCCGTCTCTTTTAACAACAAAGTTGCATGGAAAAGCCTTTGAAAACTTCTGACACTGGGAGAGCATTGACCTAAACTATCTGCTTCATTTGAAGCATTACATGTACTTTGTTCTTTAGTGTATAGGAAATATTGAATAGTCATTCAACATTTAAAAATCGAAATTTTGGGTGTGTGGGCTGGTCAATACAATTTCGAAAAATATCAAAATTGTTTAACATTGACTATTCTGAATCGCCCCTAAGAATGTTAAAGTTTTGAACATGGCCATTTTCTTGATGGCTAGGGTCTGTCGATATCAGAAGTTTTGATTATCCATATATTGTTAAACTTAATTTGATATATCGATAATAACATGAACATTCCTTTGCTGGGAATTAGTCACAATTCTTAATTGATTCTAGTTTACCAGCACTTACAGGAAAGTTCTATCAGAGCTTTTGTTTTTCAATGTCATGTTGTTGTCCAGTCTCTTTTGATTAGGAGGCCGTAAGATCGCCTCGTAAATCCTGGTAACAGTTCATTGATGGCTTATGGTGGCCGATGTAGATTACCTCTAGTATCTTTCGTGATAGGAAGTGTGCTTCCTGGTCAATGATGCGTGTGCTGGTCCAGTGAATGGTGTGTGCGTAACATTGATGACACTCTCGTAATCATCCTCAATGAGGATATTGAATGGTTCACCAACCACATGAACCATGTTGACCCCAGCATAAAGTTCACGTGCAAGAAGGAACAGGACAACCAACTACCCTTCGGCAGAACTGCAACTATCCCCAGTGGCCTCTTGCCAAGGGCGGATCCAGGGGGGGGGGGGGGGCCAAAGGGGGCCATGGCCCCCCCCCCCCAAACGAAACAAATTTTTTAATTTTTTTATGTGACATCGCAATAAAGGCACACCACCATCTTTTCCTCAAAAAAAATTTGGTTAAAGTGGTCAGAAATTGCCTCAGATCGTACCACAGAGCATCTAGAATCCAAAATTTTTCAGGGCCCTTAAGCGGGCCCCGAACCCCACGCCGCAATTTTTTTTGGCCCACTTTTTGGGGGGACCAAAATTTTTTTTGCCCCCCCCAAAAAATTGTGTTCTGGATCCTCCCTTGCCTCTTGCCACAGTGTCCACTCATCTAAAGTATCTACCGGTACTCATCTAAAGCTCTGATAGAACTTTCCCGTATTGTGCTGGTGAAAAAGAATCAACTAAGAATTTGATCGAAAAATAAAATATTTACAACACACGTAAGTTCTTGCCAGCCAGGCATACAAAGCATGATGCATGTTGCAACCCCCCTTCCCAATTAAACGTATACATATAAATGGACATAAATACTTTATGTCCGTTTTGTCTTACCAAACGTACCTCTGAACACCTTTTTCACGTCAAACACAAAAAAATGTCTGCTCTCCTTATTTTTACTTTTGTTTATTTACAATTGATGAATTGAGTAGGAACTTTCTGCTTTCTGACAAGACCAACAAGCTTTCCTTCGCACTGGTGAAAGCATGCATAGTACATGTTGGATGCATGCGATGATGATAGACTGGTTGACGCCATTGTAAAGATCATAGTGCATGCTGAAAAGAACTAGGAACAATCTACAGCATTGTACAGCAATCTAAAGTCAAATCCCGACATATATGTCACGAAAACATCTTTAGAAAACATCTTTCTGTGAGTTCATTCACAAAACTTTTATATGTTTATGTATTTTCTGTTTTTATGTATTTGTTTTGATAAAAATTTCAGCTTAACTACCCTATATTGAAACAGCAAGTAATCTGAAGCAGAGGAATTGTTTTCTTGGACTAGTCAGCAATATTAAGAAAAGTTTTCGCGCAAAGATTTAATGTACACTTATAAATGTATATTTATGAATACATGAGACGAGACGTTATGTATATTATGCACGCACACATAATTACATGTACTTTTACACTGTACTGCACGCGATCTCTTCACAAGCTGTACGTGCTCAGCTCAGCTCGGTTATATCGCTTTGGACCACATCATTTTTGAGCGAGGGGTGTCAGTCATCAGGACATTTGCTTACTGTTTGTAAGATTCAAATTGCAATTGTACGTGCAAATATATTATTGTCTTTTCAGAAACCATTTTTTAAATGTTTGCATAGTATTTTTGCATTACAACAATTGCTAACAACGCTCTTGAGGCATTCATTCATTCATTCATTCATACAAACATTTATTTCAATATTGCCGATTATTATACAAAATGAACAATGAGAAACTGAGTGAGGAACACAAAACTATTAGATTAACCAACAAGTAATGTAAACAATCTACAAATCTACGACTCGTTAACAAATTATAAATGTTGATGGATTCCGATGCGGATACGTTGACGTCGCAGTAAACATGTATTGTACAGTGTATATATTTTGACATTGTGACTTACTGCAATTAGCGAGTTTAAACCTATCTGTTATTTCAAGGGAACTGTTTGGTATTTAAAACAATACAGTTATACAAAATTCCTTCAATATCTTCTGTTGACAAAGCTTTTTGTCAGTGGTTCAGCAGAGACGCATTGGCTAACATTTTTTTCTGATATTATTTTCTCATATCAAATTCTTTTTTTTGATATTAAAAAATGCTATCGACTATTTCAATATCACGATGAAAGAGCATCGCCATTCACCATTCCCAGTGTTGGCCTGAAACACGTACCCAAAAAATTAACTCCTGAAACAAACAATGATTTATTGCTCTGTGCACATTCAGTGCGCATCAATGTTTATGCTTTGATTTGTTCTGTTTGTGTAGGGTCTTGGCTATCAGGATACCTTCCTGCCTGTGCCTAAGCAGGAGGTGGTTGTATACCAGTATGAAGAGGAGCATTATGAGACATATGGCCCCACTGCACCAACCACAGAGGAGATAGACACACAAAGGTTTGTTAGATATATCTTACATTCATTTATGTTTATATTTCAGAACAGAGGTCATTTATGCAACTGCTTAACAATTACCAGAAAAGATGTGTTAACTTTAAAACACTTTGTCAAGGCGTGAATGTAAACACGGTTGCATGCGCATGGAGATTTCCATAGCAACATCATTTATTTAAGCAATATTTTCTGAAGTTAACTTGCTGTGCTTATACTGCTTACAGTCTCAGTGAAATAGACAAATGCTCTGTAAGCAGCATGAAATTGTCTCCAGGTCGTGGAAAGATGATCTCACAACTAGTATTAAAGGGAATAATAGAGTGATGGAGCAGTTTTAAACATTTGGTTTAAACCGGTAATGGCCCTTGCTTTCAGCTTGGGCTGTAAAGGCAAGGGTTATTATCGGCGAAAAAAAGAACCGGACAAATAAAACTGCTTGCTGACTTGATTTACCTGAAATAAACAAATCAAACACAATTAGACGCTTATAAGTTACTGCTCAATCACACTATTATTCCCATTCTTACATGTAAACTTACGTTTGGTTAGAAATACAAAAAAATTAAAAAATTAACAAAATTTGTCTGACTTTTGCTGATCCATGTTCCAGGCCATTTCCATGAACAGAGCACGTGATGACTGTCCCTCAAAATGACACCATCACAAAAACAGTTTTAGAGGATATGTAAAGTCATCATAAGTCCATCAAAAGTCATCCAGTATCAAGTCAGTTGACAAGTTATTCAAAGAACTGTGACAAAGGCAGATCATTTGTCAGTTTGATCCCGTCACTAGTCACCTGACCTTGTGACCTGACCAGCCTGCAACTCTCAAGTGCATATGTAAACCGTGAAAACTGACTCACTATGGGGAACTTGCACAAAACCAAGACTCAATTGGGATTAACTAACCAAACTAAACTAAACTCGGGATCTTTGAAAGGAAAAGACGCGAGGAAATTGGAATTTAGACACCGACACAAATTCTAAATTTCAAACTGAAAAGGACCTAAAAGAATTTATTTACAAAAACTTAAAACCAAAATCCAGAAACTAAAAGCAAAGAATAAAACCTAAAACCCGAAACTTAAAACAAAGACTTCAACCTTAAACCAAGTACTTAACCCTCAAACCCACACAGTGTGTAATAATAAGTGGACCTTAAAGAACACTTCTGGAAGAAAATCAATGACTCTAGCAGAAAAACACTCACACAGGGCAAGGCGCACCAAAAAAACATCAAGGGGAAAGAGAGGCTCAAACATATAGTGTTCTCTCCACTGCCGCTGGTCTGCTACTGATCATGAGGGGGTTTGTGGTCTTACAGGGTGGCAGGGCACATGGTCTTAAGGGAAGGGAACCAATGGCATGAGTCTAATTCACATACAATGTGAAATACAGGTACCTTGTTACTGGGGAAAGTTTATCAGGGGTATACATTACATGTACTATGGAAGGGAAGGGGGAAGCTAACAAAAAGGCTGGACTTATTCAGGGGGCTATTCCTATACTTAAGCATACAAAAATACATGGAAAAAACACAAGTTAAATTTGGCCCTGCCACACATAGTTCCTGATGACAAAGTTGTTTTATAACCCTTTTATCATGAGTTTTGGGATAAAGAAACAATATATTTTTTAAATATAAATAATTCAATGACCTGAACTGTATTGGTCAATACCGACTTTGATAAGGTGTGGCCACTGTGGACTCAATATATGAACAGTAGATGGCATCCATGATGTCTAGTGAGAGCTCCCGGAGGAGTCATTCATTGAATATATAGTGCAAACTTCTCACAATTAACTTTATTGTGAATACACACAAACCCATATTGTTTTCATGTGAGCAACAGGCCTTCTCTTCGTAACCAAGTGAAGGGGGTACTGTTGTCCAAAGTGTTAAGGTGCCTACAAACTCAGGGTGCCTTGAACATTCACGCCTTGCTCTGTGACTTAAGAACAGCCTGTCCAAGTTTTGAACAATGAAACAGGACTGGCATATCAGATTCAGACTTCTAAGATGTTACCTTTTACAGTTTAGTTCATTAACTGTGTGTATCCTCCTGTGTACTGTCATTACAAAATTTGGATCATCACTCATACTTTTTTTTGGAATGATATTTCCCATTATGTAGAGAATAAGCTTAGCATAATAACCTTTATCTAAGTCTCAGTTTAATTGTGTTGGCAGATATAACAGGCATGTACGGCCAGCTTCCCCACAAGGTGAAGCAGGTGGCTATGGACACAACCTGGCATGCCTCAGGGCCTTGCAAGAAGCTTTCTCAGGTTTGCTGTTCTTCCCATTGATTCATGGCAAAAAGGAAGAGGCTTCTGTCATGGAAACGAGTTGACGGACAGACAATAGTCCAAGGTGTATTTAGGACATTTAGCCCCCTTTTGACAACTGTACCCTAGCTGTGAAAGGCTTTGTGGGATTCGGCTACGTTGTGCAGGAAATGAGAACTACAATTAAGGCATTGAATGTGAAACACATTTTACATGGACCTCATGTGTATTGGGTATTCTACTCAATTCCTGCCTCATGCCTACATGTATGCACATTGGGCATGACTTTCATTGCCAACCTCATCATGCACGTTTACATGGATCTCATTCTGGGCCTCACAGCCTAGTCCCCTCCCTTTGACAGTCCAGTGTGCAAATTGATATAAAGTCATGAAACTTGGCACTGATGTTTTTTAATGCATGATGGCCAATCCTGATACATCGTATATGGTCGCTTCATCTAAACTTATTAGGTTAATGAACCTAGTTGTGACTTGACCCATCAAAATGAGGTACAAGTCGCCAGAGCTAATTTTGAATTATTTGATTTGTAAAAGCCTTAAGGATCTACATACATAGGAATAGTCACCCTCTTCACACCCATAATATCTGTATATACAGTAAACTCCGGCTAAGATAACACTCTCGGGACCAGAGAATTTGTGACGACTTACACGAATGTCGGCTTCTGCTGCAAGTCGTCATTTTGCCGACTTACACAAATACACAAATTGAATCACAGAGTGAAAAAAATAGATTGAATTAATGGCCTATGCGCATTATTTTAACGGATTGGGTCACAACTTCAGCCTAATTAAAGAGTCTAATTAAATATCTTGACTCTGATTAAAGAGTCAAGATCTGTGCCAAGTTTCATGACTTTATACCAATTTGTGCACAAGGCTGCATATTCTGCAAGAGGGATGGGACTATCAGTTGAGCCAAGGGCGGATCCAGAACACAATTTTTTGGGGGGGCCAAAAAAAAATTTGGTCCCCCAAAAAAGTGGGTCAAATTTTTTTTTCGGGGCCCGCTTATAAGGGCCCCGAAAAAATTTTGGATTCTAGATGCTCTGTGGTGCGATCTGAGGCAATTTCTGACCACTTTAACCAATGTTTTTTTGAGGAAAAGATGGTGGTGTACTCATTGCCTGCCTTTATTGCGATGTCACATAAAAAAAAAAAAAATGGTTTCGTTTGGGGGGGGGGCCATGGCCCCCTTTGGCCCCCCCCCCCCCCGGATCCGCCCTTGAGTTGAGCACGAGTGTCAATGCTAGACTCATATTTCATTTATTTTGGACTAGGCCTCATACCCATCCTGTTCTTGATATCCAATGAATATGAGCCTCGTACCCAGCTTCGTGCACTAACCTCAATCTCAGCCTACTTTCCAACTTGTGTTTGGACATTACCATCATTCTCATATCTAGTGGTGTATCAACTGGGGATATTGTAATTTAGTCGTGGAATTTGTAGGTATCTGGCCAAGAGAAAACCACTTCCAAAATTGTTTGTTTTTTGCACTGTCATGTGTGTAAATGCATACATTGTAGCTGTACAATTTTCTACATGTAATATACCTACAGTACCAGCCATGGCAATATAGAACAATTACAGTTTTTTTTATTACTGTCCAAGGTACAAAATGTATATTTTACACCTTACTTGTACTTTCTTTCTTTTATCCATGTCAATGAACTTTTTTTAAGTGTCATTCCCTTCTCTTGGTAAGCAACTATCTAAAAAATGCCATTAACCCTCCTACATGTATGTGTGACGGGTCGTTTTATAGAGACTATTGAGGGAATGGCAACTTGATGGACTTCTTATTCAAATGGTGATTTATTCATTACCTGTAGTTCGAAGACAAAAATATATATGTTGTCAGTTCTTTGCATGACAAGGTTATCCTCTAATCAGAAATGAAACAATGTTTAGACTTTAAATCAAAAAGTAAACGTTGAACATAAAGTAAATCATTTAGTAATGTGAATTAGGTTATTTACACTATTTACAAGCAGGTGGAAATAAGATGAATATAAATCAAGACTTGAAATTCCCGCCAAAACTGTTCTTGGGACCGCAATCTTGCATTTGCCCCGAGTAAATCAAACAAAGTAATGGAAATGTCATTGTAACAAATTAAGGAACATCAAACTTACAGTTAATTAAATAAGACGCTAAAAGAAAATGGGAATAAAGTATAATCTGAAACTACAACATTTATCGGTGTGGGACTGGAATTGACCCATCAGTGATCGTTGTCTTCCGAGCAAAATATCTATCTCTCTAAGTTATTATTTTACATGATGAAATCATTACAAACATGATAAGCTTACACTTCATAAGGATATATCTGAAGTTTTAAGTACAGTTAAATAAGAAATGAAAATAAATCAAGCAGTCATTACCTGTAGTTCGAAGACAAAAATATGAATGTTGTCAGTTATTCGCAAGACAAGGTAATGACGAAGCCCGTGAAAATAATTTAACAAGGTGGAACCGCCGAGGGCGCTACACAAAAGCTAGTTGCGTAACATGTCAACACAAAAGAATTAAAGGGGGGGGGGTGGTATCTTAAACTCGATGACATTAGTAACTACATGTATATGTACACCTGTCACATATGTAAACATACATTCTGTGCCAAGTTGTCCTTTCAGTCAAAATCAATAAAGTGACTGTTTTCAACAGTTAAGAGCTCCCTGCCTACATACAGCAGGATTGACTGGCTGTGACTGTTTATGTAACTTGATACAGCTATGTTTTGACTGTAGGTGATTGATAAGCCAGCTGTGCCTACCACTTGCCTGTTTTACTGAATTTGACTATCCACTGTGCAGTTGGTGACTAGCCTGTGTAAAAGTCATGGAAGGGGAAGAGGATTGAATGTTTCAACTGTCTCTGACTGTTCAGATAGCAGGAGGGTTAAGAAAATACACAACACCAACAAGACAACTTTGCAGAAATAATAAATTATAATGGAATAAGATAATTATTGTAATGGACTGTACAGTATACATGTAGTTTTCCTATAAAATTTGTATTAAATGAAAGACAAACCAAGCACTGTCATTGCATTCTTTATTTAACTTGACAAGCCTGCCCTGAAAGTATACATGGAGAAATAATGTTTGTTCTAATTATGCACAGTTTTTGTGGAGGGGTGTAAATTGTACCATCAGTGGGGGAAGTTTAGCACACAGACTGTGCTTACGTTGCAAAATCTGAGACCATTTGCATGTTTCAGAATTACTCCACAAAATAGTCAAACTTTTAAGTTGTATATATACATGTACATGCTTTTTGGGTGTGGCACCATGAAAAATAGATTTTCAAATTGAATTGATAATTTTCTGGCATTACATTAGTTTTGAGCTTTCCAATGAGACATCAGACAAAAACTCGCCCCTCTACAAGTAATCAATTAATTTCAACTCATGAATTAGAAACGCCTGCTCTTAATTCAGCTGAAGCGGGCAGGACCTAGCTTTTGTGACGGTACAGCTCATGAACAACAATTTCAACAGCTGTTCAGATTGACTGTACAAAAATGTGCATGTGAACCGGATACGTGTATACACGGTATACAGCTACATGTAGTGTCGTACCATTGCGACAATGCAATCATGAATGACACGTGAAACAAGACTTGGAAAACCACACTTTTGCAATCCAGTGAGAGAGGAAAAGATGCAAAATAGCAGAAGTTATGATAGAACGTAGGAACTGTTGGACCTGGCCAGACCAGGTGGATACAAAATGTGTGATTCAAAAATGTACGTAGCTGAAACGTCACTAAATATGAATATTTATAGAATTTTGCTCAAAACTTTCTGAACTGAAGCGCGCTATTAAAAACCATTTTTAAAACTTTAAAAAGGCCTGCAAATGTAAAGCAATTTTATTTGTTACAGGACATTACATTTCTTTAAATTCATTCAGAAAAGAAAATCGTAATTTTGAAAAAGCACCTATATACCAACTTTAACCCTAACCGCCCTGAATCCTCCAAAATCCTTTTTGCAAATTGGAGGAATTTGCAGGATTGAGGTTACATGGCAAAAGTGCGTTGCTGATTTCGCAGTACGCACTGTGTCAAGGTCTTGGGCCGGACCTAGTGTTGTTTATGCTCAGCCGTGCATAAATTTAGTCCTTGATTATACTTGACATCCTCCGCACTGCTCCAGGATGTCACTGCCTCTGCCTCTTGACAGTCATAGCCGGAGGATTTTGCAGGATTCAGGCAGTGGTCATCCCTCCATGGACCATATTCAAGAAATAACGGAGGAATTTGCAGGATTGAGGCTACATCCTAGCAAAAAGGCCTAGGGAGTTAGGGTTAAAGCTAACAGGGTATGAGTTCAAGTGTGCACGAGTACAAATGTATGCAGCTACAACATATACATCTGGTCACTTCAAATGCCAATGATAATTCAAATTTTTAAACAACGCATTTAAAATATCATCTACTCAAAATTAATCAAAAGTTATTTAACAATGACATTCCAGTGGGTCACCTCCACTTTCATGAAGTCTCTATCTTCATACCTTTTTTATTATAACTTAGAGAAAATTACCAATGCTTGTAACAACTTAAGTAAATCTCTGGCATTCCACCTCTAGCCCTGCCAGCTGAATGCCACCAAATATTAGCTTCGTGAATGGCGTGCAACCACCAATTTTATCAACACACATATTGCATTGTGTATCTGTACACTCACAAGGCTCCCTCCTATGGAGAAACCATCGTGCACACTATTGTACAAAGCAACTACCCTGCGCCACGCCAACTCTAGCGGGATGCGGCTGTAGCTGTTTTGCTGGAGGAAATCCATACAGATACAGATGACAGATTACAATTGTCTGAACAGTAGCTAGCACAATACTTCGCCATTGAAGGAGGCCTTCGTGATTGTATTGATAGTGTGTCCGGATTGGTCTATAGGATGAAGGCCAGTTAAAAACATGTATAAAAACAAGTTTTTGCTACATGCTTGAATGTGCTGTACAGCACATTCAAGCATGTATCAACAATAAATTCCAGACTGCAATGTGACTCCAGCGGAAGTAGTTGCACGTTGGAAAAAGATGGAAATGCTCATGTACGTTTACGTGTTGTTTCCACTGTACATGTATCCGAGAAAAAAAATGTCGGAAAATGAAGTGAAGTATTCCTCTCATTCTGTTCTGGATTTCTTCACTGGTGGTGCTTCTGTTGCCTCATATAAATCTACAGAATGAAAAAGTGAAAATTACATGTGTAATTTGGAAATCATTAAATGATGAACAGAAAACGGTCTTAAATCTTATTTAAATCATGGACTGTGTACAAGAAAACGTGCTCATACACTGACAGATGTGTAGTAAAATGGTATAAACCTCTGGTTCTTTATCAACTGCAAACCACACTGACATAGCAGAGAATGCGGTTACACAAAAGCCAACCCCTACAGAAGTACAATGTACATACATACATGTATGTACATGTGGACTAGTGGATGATTGTGCAAGTAGATCATAAATGCGGCAAGATATGACTGCAGTGTGATGCCGTTGGCCATAACTACAGGGTCCTGTTATGTTGGTTCGTTTTCATTCTACACTGTCTTCTGGCATTATGGCGGGTTTTGGTTCTGTAACAACTTGCTCTTTTTCCCTTGGGATATTTTGCTTGTGTAACTGGGGTGCTCTTTTGAGCAGGATCTTAAGAACATTAAACATTTCCTCTTTTGGTCCTAGAATTACATGTATACATACATGTAAACTGAATTGAAAAGTTACATGTAGAAATGTAAATGCTCAAGACAGTAGAAATGGTAAAACAGTACAACGGTAGAACTAGAAGAATTGCATATTGTAGGTGCGCACACTTCCATGTATCTCTACTCTTTGTAATTTTTTTTCCAATCAGCCAGACACATGGCACGTATAGGGGCTGCAAACCTCAGTCAGCAAAGACTTTTGAGAGGGTTATTTGGAGGATACTCCTTTGCTTATTACTCCATGGGCCTGACCAGTTGTTGGTACCACCTGAGGTGGCAAAACTTTAAGTGTTAATTTCTTTGTTAAATTAAGTGAAAAAAATATATGATAGCTTTTCGTAATGAGTAGGTTAATATCTTTTTGATGCAGGTACTCCTTTTAACGTAAACCCCTGGGTATCAGGGAGGGGGCCACAACCCAATTCCCCCATGAAACTTATTATAATTACCCCTGAACGCTTTGACTGATCGGTATTAAATTTGGTGATCTCTCTTAACTTCTACCAGAGGTCTTCTACCGGAGGGGAACCATTTCAGTTATTATATAACGTGTGTGTGCATTTTTGAATAGGACCCAATGTTTTCTTTGTCCAGGCCTATCATGTACTTACTTGAGACTAAAATTCACGGCAACCCGACTAACTACATGTACAATGCATACTGAGAATCCAATATGGCCGCTTCTCTTATAGATTGACTTGAATAGAATATGTGAAATATCCTATTCAAGCAATGGGTCATGTATATGTACAGTTTTATTTCCAATAGTAAAGGCAGAAAATGCCTTGCATAAATAATAGAAATTGGGTCGGTTATCAAGGCCAATTTGCCCAAGTTTTTGGGTTGGGCAGGGTTATACCGTAGAATCTAGCGGGAATGCGTCGTCTTCCATTCGTGGACTCATCAGCTGGTGGTACATGTATTGAGTTGTGTGGGAAAATAAACCTTTTCTCTTAATCATCCTGACAATATTTTGGTTTATAACCTCAAAGTTTATAATAACAAAGTTTCATAATAAAGTTTTATAATAACTGAACTGGTTGCCATGGTAACAATGGGCATGCTACGTAATTGTTTTTGTACCATATTGACCTCTGGTAGAGGGTAAAAGAGATCACCAAATTTCATGCCGATCAGCCAAAACATTCAGGAGTAATTGTAATAAGTTTCATTGTTGGGGGGGGGGGGGGGGTGTGGTCCAGCACCCTGATACCCATAGGGTTAACGTTAAAAAGGGGTCTGGACATTCAAGGGGTGATAACCAATAATAAGCTACCATGTGCAAGTATGTGTTACCATTCAGCACTCCATACTCAAGTACCAATGAATTTTAAGAACATTGGTATGAGAACTACATGAACATGCAGATAAGCCAATGTAAAAAAATTGCCAGATGTCCGCGCCCACCTTCATGTACACAAATGTACATATGTATTTAGACTGCTCGCTTGTTTTACAGTGTGACATTTTGTTGGACTACAAAACTGTTTGCCTTTAAAAGACATGATGAAAGCTTTTGCATAGGCCCACTAACATTCAAAGAATTACAAATGTTAAACTTCAAGGTATTTGTACCTTCTGTGCTGCATCCAAATATGACTGGTGCTGGCACTTTGAATGACACACACATCATCTCCTTATTGGGTGCCACATCTCTGACATCATGGACGAGGGCTCCCTCAATGCTGTGACTCAAAACTGCCTCAATGCGCCGTAGCACATCACTAGCTGTATCCACCTCCTTTGAAAAGCAGTAGCAATGCACTGTGGGTAGCTGAACATGACCCCTGACACCAGTCGGTATACTCTGCAAGAGGCTGGGAAAAACGTCCAGAAATTCAATGGCCAGTGAAGGCAAGTTCATGATGACATGAGTTCTTTGATGAGGATCACAACATGTATTCTGCTCTTCTGCTCTCTTGACCAGGTCTTTCCGTACAATGTCTCTGATGAACTCCCTGCCATCCAAGTTATACGTCCTTATTGATCCCGTATTAATTTTGTTGAGTTTGACATTTCGTTCCAGCCACTTAAATGATTCCGGGTTGAGATCGCTGGCCAGGACTGAACAACCCTTCTTGGCGGCAGGTACGGCAAAAGGCCCCACCCCTGCAAACATATCATACACAATATCACCCTTGTTTAGCATGCCCACAATTCTTGTGTGCTCAGTTGAGAGGCGAGGATTCCAGTAAACCTTGGAGAAGTCAAATTCAAAAGAGTGGCCATGCTCCTTTGTTGTGGTGATCATGTTGTTCTCCCCAGCTAGTAGCTCCATGTTGAAAAAGCGGAACTCATTGTTGATTTCCCCAGTCTTGTTTACAACAGTTTTCAATCCAGGATTCTTGTCCATTAGAACTTCCCCTTTAAAAAAGTAGAGATAAAACTTGAACATCGAATTAAGAATTTCAATTCAGAGGGTCTATTTTAGAAAACTGAACAATTTTTAAATAATGTTTTGGAGTAAATTATGAATGATCACACACACCTTCAAGAGTTTGCAATATTGAGGATTTGTAGTCGGATCCCTAGCAAAGTCTGTAAATGAACATGTTTGTGTACTTCAGTACCTTTTTTTGTTTTTAATGCAGTCCTTGAAAATGTACCTTGGTACAACATTTGTTTTGCAGTTTCAAGGGTACATTCCTTTTTTAAATTTTTTTTATGCATTAACAAAATTCCATATTCATCAGCAAAAGTGTGATCTTATTTCAGGCAGAAACCTCAACACTACAGCAACTGCAGCACCAAAAGATGGCAGAATTGTGGAAATTTTGCTGTCGTAAATTTTCTTTTCTTTTGTGATGTTTTGTGTCAGTACATGGCAATGAGCAAGTAAGCAAACTTTTCTCACAAATGTTTTCATTGAGCACATTTGTTTGGTTAATAATTTGAACAGAACCCATAAACTGAACATTGTCTTCCTGAAATGACATCACAGCAACAACACCACATTTGTCTGGAATAACATGGAATTAAAAAAAAAATGTTTAAAGAACTGCACTTTTACATAAAAGTAACTAAAAAGGGATGTCACATAGTTTTCATACATTTCAGAAAAATTCGTTTCATGTACCATGTTAAGTATTTAAATAAGGTGTGCAGCTCGGGTACAAGTCAGAAAGCTGGTGAAATCATCAAAACATTGAATTGGAAAGTCTCCACACATCTTCTTTCACACATCCAGTAAAACATAAGATTACAGTTTTTTAATGTATTTTTTTTTACAGCAATGTCAGTGAGCATGAAACTTACCAATAACATGCTTGTACTTGAGTTGCTCAGGTCTGAGATTGAGATGAGCAATGTGACCAATTCGACTAAAGCCCGTTGGTACCTCCACGCCTTTAGGAAGCAAAGACCGAAGAACTTCATCACTGGTCCAGTCACTGTACTTCAACTCCAGTGGGAAATCTCCAAATTTACTTTCTAAGTTGTGCTCCTCAAGAAATGTTATGCCAGCTTCTCCCAGTGAGATGACGTTGTCCGATGAGACAATCTCTGGGTTTAGGAGGAGAACTTTCTCTTCTGGGTCACTTGGGCTGTTTCTCAACGGCTTATGTGCCACTGCCTTGGGTTTAAGAGCCTTCAGGCATGTGTTGGTTAGCTTCTTATTAAAGCGTACAGCTGGGAGGAGAATTGTTTTCACAAACAGGTCGCGGTTCAGCATTCCTCCTTCATCAGCTAAGGTCAAGACCGGTGGCAGGAACATGTCCCCAGTGTTCTTTTGGAAAGTTGCCATGGCTATTGCAGGGATACAATGCAACCCAACAAAGTTACTGGCATTTGATGAGTAGATGCGAGTCAGTTGGGAGAAACATTTCATCCGCAATGTCAAACAGAAAGCCATTCAGTAGAATGTATTTGTTAGAGGTCCAAGGTTATTCATGTACTCTGCAACACAAAAACAGCAACATACCTACAGGTGCAAGAAATTAATCAATAGAATGAAAATGAACTCTTAATTGAGTGGATCAATAATTGTTGTGTAACCCCATGGGCATCCCCAGGATTTTTTCTAGAGTGGGGGCAAAGCAGTTTTTCGCCAAAATCCCTACATTTTCCAGCATTTTCCAGATTGATCATTTATTCCCCCCAACCCATTAAATTAATAACAATATGATTTCGCGCCTCTATTTTTTTCAGTTCTTAAAGCACTCTTTGTCTTTATGCATTCTATGTGTCCTCATCTATGGGAACGGTTGTTAAGAAATTCCTAGACTGTTAATGTAGCCATACATGTACATAGCCACACTCCGTTCGTATCTCTGAACTTTCAGAATGTCTAACATTCGTGTTGATGTGGAATGACAGATCCTGTGCCACTGGAAGTTCTTGGATAAACTCTTACATGTAAGTGAGCACTGAATATGTAGTGCTGGATAAATTTCGGGACTGTAACTATAAGTGCAAGGTCTCCAACCATGATTTCCAACACGTCAAAAGTTCAGAGATTGGGAATGGAGCAGTCAGTGCGACAGTTCCAGATCCCTTTTTATATAAACTGCTGTACACCCGCCCGTGTCTGAGTGACATCATTTCGTAGTACATGTACATGTACAATTCTTCCTCTTCAAGTTGATACCAAAGATGTTCACAAAGACTCAACTTAACTGGATCAGGAATGCTACGCTACCTGGAACAAGTACTAATTCATCATTCACCGGGCACTCAGCGCACTCAATGTGTCAAGCCTTCATCATGTAAACTACACACAAAACTGCATCGTATGCAAGGGTAATCGCAGCTGTCTCATGCAGGGATAAAAATCTGTTGGCTAATATGGCAATTTAGTTAATTCAAATGCCCCAATAACTATTACTCAGTCAGTGATAAAATGTTGACCAAGTTCCACAGGAAACCAGATCTTTGCCTGTATGTGCTTCCTTTCACAGGTCAATTACAAGACAAGTGGATATTTTTCCGTTGGCTTGTGGGTTTATGCTATTTTCAAAAATGTCTTTCTGCGACAATTACAAATTGACAGACCTTCAAATTAGTGAAAAAAATTCTCCAAAAACACAGTTCGGTTACACTTGGAGGATGGGAAAACAATTGATAGGCACATAACTACAAAAATGATATTGAGTTACATGGCCCAGACAGCAAAGATTTTCCATGAAGTGTCCACTGCGTAAAATTAGGCATTAGGCAGGTAAAAATATGAAACAAATGTTTTATAATTGTTTTCGCTATGGTGGTAGAATTTATACCCTGCACCCAATTTCATCAAACTCTTCGTAACTTCCGATGCATTGCAGCGCTGCGACGCATCGTATCTCTACAATGCGTCACAGCTGCGACGCGTCCTGCGATCCATTTCATTAAACACGTTGAAAGCGCGTCGCGTCATAGGTGTATTTATAGCACAACTCGTTAACTGTTTTATGTATTTAGTCAGCGTACAGTAAATAGTCATCTGATATTCAACAAAGAGTCGTCGGATCTCAGCTCGAAATTTGTTCAAACGTAAAACAAAATGGCAGCCGTGCGATGCAATTTTGAAGGAAAACAAGCTCTCATTGGACTGTATAGCTACTTTGAAATTTCAACTCTAATATTCTGGTCTAATTCATAATTATTCAATGAATTTTCTATTTACAACTTTACACACATTGCCTCGATATTATAATCTCGTTAATGTAATGTTTATGGCAGAAAACTGGCTTAGAAATGACTCTTCTTACTTTGCGATGATCACTAGACACGTCGTAACTTGCGACGTGTTTTATGCAGTTGTCAAGGAACTTAAGACGCGTTCAACACATCGCAACTTTCGTGAAATGGAAGATACGACGCGTCGCGAGTTGTGACGTGTTACACGTCGTAACTCGAGTTGCAACGCTTTGCAGCGCTTTGTGAAATCGGGTGCTGGGCTACATGTAGGCCTACTCAAGCTGCACCCGATTTCATCAAACTCTTCGTAACTTATGATGCATCGCAGCAATGCGACGTGTCGTATCGCTACGATGCGTTGCAGCTGCAACGCGTCCTGCGATCCATTTCACAAAACACGTCATAAGTGCGACGCGTCGTAGGTGTATTTACATGATTTATAGCACAACTCGGTGACTGTTTTATTTATTTAGTCAGCGTACAGTAAATAGTCGTCTGATATTAAACAAAGAGTCGTCGGATCTCAGCTCGAAATTTGTTCAAACGTAAAACAAAATGGCAGCCGTGCGATGCAATTTTGAAGGAAAACAATCTCTCATTGGACTGTATAGCTACTTTGAAATTTCAACTCTAATATTCTGGTCTAATTCATAATTATTCAATGAATTTTCTATTTTAACTTTACACACATTGCCTCGATATTATAATCTCGCAGAGCTTCGTGAAATCGGGTGCTGGTTTTGTGGTGAAATCTGACAATTTTGATTGGGGGTATGAGTGAAAATGGTCAAAACACGTTAATGGTAACCATATACGGCCACGTACCTAGGACTCTCGCCCGACCATGTCCAAATGTTAAAAAAGCAATCTGTAGAGTCCTAGTTACTCGGACTAGTGCCAGTGGTAGTGCAGGTGTGGAAGGTAATTCTGTCCCCCGGTAAAACTGTCTGGGGGGAAAGAATTACCTAGGTAAAAGTGTCCTCCCCGGCCTGTTAATTCCAGGTAATTCTGTCCCCCCAGGTTTTTTTGTCCCCCTCTTTTGAAACCCGGAAAGCCAGATCTCTTTATTGTTTTTGTGAATTCACTCTACAAGGTATAAATTTTGGACCTTTATTCTGCCCTTCATGACTATAATTTTTTTTAATTTGGTCTATTATTAGATGATAATGTGAACAAAATGTTTCGATTTGGAGTACGGCGAAATCTATCGCGATTCTACCGCGATAGCTCAATACAGCGGCGATGCATGGCGATGGCCCTCGTCTCATTGATACAACGCCTACTTGGATTGGTCTGTGTTCCCATCATAGCGCGTAACAAAATTTCCTATTGGATGAATTCCACTTGAAGCATATGTACAAATGTGAAAATCACTGCCACATATCTTGCAGCATGTGCTGGCGCGACGCGCGCAACACGCATGCTGCTCTCAGTCTCAGCATGGACACATGTCTCAGGGACACATTTACCAGGGGGACACTTTCAGCGTTGGACAGGGGGACATTTTTACCTGGTGGAGGGGTACAAATCTACCTAGGTAAAAGTGTCCCCCCGGACACAATTACCGGATCACGAGCCGGTAAATGCGTCCGGGGGGACACATTTACCAGGGGGACAGAATTACCTGTCACAGGTATTAAAGTGGTAGGCCTAAGTCTAGTTGTGGGCTGTGGCATACCGCATATATTGGTCAGGTGAACTGTTTTCATCGGTTAAACGGAGTGCGTACACTTGTGCGTACAACACTCAGCAAACAAACTGCTCCTTTGAGACGTCTAATCTTCATGTAATTTCACGAGGAAATTTTGAGGCTCGATTTCTCCATGGTGCACTATTGAGCTGGATAATGATGCACGATCGCGATATGAATTGATGACCGGTTGCGCTGGCTCCGATCGATCCTCTCTTGTTGCAATGAATGACGCCCTCTATTGTTCGATTTTAAGTTTCGTTACCGTATTATAATCCGTTGGTGTGGTCGCATCATCGGAGGGCTAGGGACAATAGCCTCAGCTGGCTCCTGAATATTTCCAGGGATTGCCCCGATACCACTGAGGCAGGGCCGGGTAGGCGTTCCATATGCAGATGACATTCGGGATAAGCCTGGGATCTGCAATGCTGGTGACGGAACATGAGATAGTGACCTCTGCATGGTTGACTGACTAATGATGGAAAAAGATAAGGCGCGGTCCGGTGGGGATGGCGACCAGTCCATATACAATTCTGTAAACATGATGACTTTACTACATTGTATGTGCGCGTCGCTCATGAAGAGTTTGCCACTGCAGGTCACTGATCATCCATGAAATAAGATGAAAGATGAATTTGTAACCAAATTTGACGCTTCATCCCCTGTCAGGGAGATGTGGGACACATATAGAGTCAAAACTCTCCCAAATCTTGGACCTTGTTCCATCCAAATTCACATCTAGTCGTTTCAACCAGCCATGGGTAACCCGCAAAATCAAGCAGCTCAGTAGGCAGAAACAACGTGCTTACAACAAGGCTTGCTCCCATCGCCGTCATCGCAATCATCGTCACTGGGCCAGGTACAACGTCCTGAAGAAACGTATGCAGAACGCATGCAGAGAAGCATACAACAACTACATCAACAACATTGTGTGCCCAGATCTCAAGTCAAATCCCAAGCGTTTCTGGAACCATATCTCAAGCAAACGCTGCGACAACAATGGTGTTGCCCCTCTCCGTGGCCCCAGAGGAGCTACATACACTGGAAGTAAGGATAAGGCAAATATTCTCAACGACCAGTTTTGTTCAGTCTTCAACAAAGACGAGGATCCATCCACCATGCCAGTCCTTGGCCCTATCCATTTCCTACCATGGATCACATACAGATAAATGTCAACGGCGTAATCAAATTGCTGAAGAAAATAAATCCTCATAAAGCCACCGGCCCAGATAATATTCCAGCTCGTCTACTGAAAGAACTTGCTAACAGCCTTGGACCTGTACTCTCCATCTTGTACCAAGCCTCGTTGGACAGTGGTGATCTCCCTGAAATATGGAAATCAGCCACCGTTGCACCTGTATTCAAGAAAGGAGATAGGAATAAACCAGCCAACTACAGGCCCATCTCACTCACAGCCATCTGCTGCAAAATTCTAGAGCATATCATACACAGCTCCATCATGCAGCACTTCCAGTCTTACAACATCCTGTCTGACAATCGACACGGTTTCCGTAAGGCCCGCTCATGTGAATCCCAGCTCATCATCACCATGGATGACATTGCTTACAACCTGGACGAAGGTCTTCAAACTGACCTCACTATTGGACTTTTCGAAGGCATTCGATAAAGTAGTTCCCCATCTTCGTCTCCTCCATAAGCTGAATTACTACGGCATCGATGGCAGTGCACTTACCTGGATCAGCAACTTCCTTCAGGGTAGAGTCCAGAAAGTTGTCCTGGAGGGGGAGTCGTCAGCTCCATCCCCTGTGTCATCCGGCGTACCCAGGGTACTGTCCTTGGCCCCCTTCTATTCTTGGCCTACATCAATGACCTCCCAGGCTGTATTTCTGAAGACTCCAGTGTTAGACTGTTTGCTGACGACAGTGCTATCTACCGTGTCATAAACAACATCGACGATGCCAACCAGCTCCAGCAGGACCTCAACACCATGCAGGAGTGGGAGAGGAAATGGCTCATGGAGTTCCATCCAGAGAAATGTCAAGTACTTCGCATCACCAAACGTCACAAACCGGTAAAGTTCACTTATTCCATCCACAACCACCCTCTGAAGGCAGTACCATCAGCTAAATACCTAGGGGTAGAACTCACAGACAACTTATCCTGGAACAGACATGTAGACACCACCTCCAAGAAGTGCCTGAGATCCCTTGGCTTCCTACGACGCAACTTGAGCAACTGCCCTTGTGAAGTAAAGACCCGCTGCTATACCACCCTTGTGCTGCCTATTGCTGAGTATGCCAGTTGCGTGTGGGACCCTTCAACAAAAAGGAACATCACCAAAATTGAATCTGTCCAGCGTAGTGCTGCCCGGTACATCATGAATAACTACTCCAGAGACAGCAGTGTCAACACCATGCTGAGTAAACTGGGTTGGGAGTCTCTACAACACCGAAGAGCCATCTCCAAAGTCACAATGATGTACCGGATCACCAACAAAACTCATCGACATCCCTGACAACCACCTTATCCTGGTCAACTCATCTACCACAGGCAACAGCCAGAAATTCCTCATCCCACCCACCCGTACAACCTTACACTGTTATTTCGGTTGTGTAAAAATCAGACGGTTGTGTACTATATGAACCTAGCAACCCGTTGTGTAAACAACAGTTTACACAACTTGTGTAAAATATTACACAACTTGTGTAAAATATTACACAACTTGTGTAAAATATTGCACAACTTGTTCATTTTTTTTTTTACGCAACTGGTTGCTAGGTTCATATAGTACACAGCCGAAATAACAATGTACTGAAGGGCTCCTTCTTCCCAGACACCATCCGCCTGTGGAACTCACTGCCCCAGCAATTGTTGTTGAGTCACCAACCCTGGATGTCTTCAAGACCAGAGTGAACGGTGTCACCTTCAGATAACCAACCTGTCCCAAAATAGCTGTTTTTACTTGCACATATTTGTCTTTTTATGCCTTGAGTTATGTCTACACCTGCTTGTTTGCACTTCAACCAATGTGCGAGTATACTCCAGCGGAGGTTTCTGCACAGTATAGGAAGATGATGATGATGTCACACTAGTATGCCGGAGGTGGTAACCGGCCTTCACAAATCTCGCTGCACGACTCTGCACCATATCAGTCTTAGACACAAGATCTTTAGAATGGGGGTCCCAGACTGATGAGGCGTATTCAAGAGTGGGGCGTACATTATGTCCTGTAGGATTGTTCCTTGATGGAGTGTCCACGTGTTCAGCCTGGGTTACGGAGAAGAAAGCCAATTGTGATGTTTCCTTTTTTGCCGATGTTTTTTATGTGTGGTTTCCACGTGAGATTTCTTTGGATTGGACGCCAAGATATTTAGCTTCGTCAACTGCGTGGAGGGTTTCGCCATGGATGGAGTACTCAACTTGATTGAAGTTCTTTCTCTTGTTGGTGATTCTCATACCTCGCACTAGATTGAATGACATTAACCATTTCTATACACTCTTAAAGGTTGGAGAGATCGTCATCTTGGTGGAGGATGTTGACTTCTCCTTGGGATCTAATTGGCCGGTACAGTGGCCGGTACAGTCTGCGAGTAGGCGCATGTCTTATGTAACGTGGTCTGGCAGGTCGTTTATAAAAGACTAAAATCAAGAGGGTACCAAGGTAGTTTCTTACTTGTGAAACCCCTGACGACACATTAGATTGGTTACTCTGCTTTTCCTCAAGGATGACTTGCTGGGTAAGGCTTTGATTGAAGAAGTCCCTGATCCAAAATAAAAGGAAACCACAGACACCAACATGATGCAGCTCCAGAAGGAGGCACTCATTGGGAACTCTATCGACAGCCTTGGAGAAGTGGGGTGCTGTGGTCCAATATATGGCTACGGTGTTCGACTCGTGTGCCGTGGTACATGGGTTCGAATCCTGACCGTGGGAACATGGTGATTGTGCTCTTGGGCAAGGCACTTTACCATTATTGCTTCGTCCTTCGGATGGACGTAAAGCCGTAGGTCCCGTGTGTTTAGTAATGCACGTTATAGAACCCAGTAACACTTATCGCTAAGAGAAGGGGTTTGCCCCGGTGTTTCTGGCAGCTGTAGTATGCGCCGCAGCACCTTGTAAACCCTTAAAGCTGCTACACAATGAGTCTCATATATCTGAGGGCCTCCATGGAAAGCCATGCTAAAAATAAGTCCAAAAGGATGACATCGAACTGTTCCTTATCTCGAAGTCCCCGGGCAAAGTCGTCGATAGTAAGAAGTATGTAGTTGCGAATCACATGAGTGCGTCTTTCTAAATCCAAACTGGCGGTAAGTCAACAAGTGATGAGAGTCCAAGTGGTTAATAATCTGGCTATGTGTTCGATGATTATACATACAATTGAAGTAAGTGAAATGGGCCGGTTAATTGTAGGTATTGTGGCACGGTTGTCACCATCCTTAAATATGGGTGTGAAGTGGGCTAATTTCCATTCCTGAGGTATCTTCCCCTGTTGAAGATAAGCTTGGAAGAGCGAAGTGAAAACTGGTGCTGCACCTTCTTTCAATAAGTATATAGGCAGGCAAATTATCTGGACCACTAACAAGTAAAACAGAAACAAATTGGTTGTTCAGCAAGTTTGCCTTTAGTAGAACCATCACTGTGAAGGATGCCATCCTTCATCAATGGTGCAACTGACGATGTTATCGCAACGCTTGCTCTTTATAAAGGACCAGAATTTCTTCGTATTTACTTCCGTATCCTCGCAGATCATGTTGTTCATGTAGTTGTGGCATGGTGTACGGCATTCCCTTTGCATGTTTGTTTTAGAAGCTTGTAACGTTAAAAGTGGCCATTTTGGAAGGAACACAGCCACTCAGAATTTGATGAAGACTACATTGTATACGTAATTACAATGTAGTGACCACATTGTGTCGACAGGAGCGTCAGTAGTGTTGTTGGAAGACACAAATGAGGTTGCAAACTCCTGGATTCGCGACTTAATCTTGGTCATGCTTGGTCTGGCCAGAAGCCAGAACTGGCTTCTGGCGCTTGATACTCACATCAGAGACGGTGCGAGCATATTTTCATTGTCGCTCACACCCGGAAAAGGGAAACACTTACTTACGAGAGATGGTCTATTCGTCAGGAATAATTGCAATGTGTTGCTCAGTCTTAATTGTTGAAAAATTCACAATTTGGGCAAGTCCAAGGTCATGAAAAGTTGTCAAAAAATCAGTTATTGATGGCTAAACCAATATCGGGAAGATTCAAATCACCGCTGATCCATAGTGTTGCTGAGGAAATGTAGCTGATGAATGGCTTGGCACAGATTCTGTGCATAGGATCACTGTGGTCTGTAGACATACACGATGA